CGTGTGTCCAAACGATGGAACACGGAAGTACAAGAGACGTGTTCGGATCTACAAGAATCTAGAGATCCAGATGTCACAAGTACAGCGGCCTTACCGACAACTCCCGGACGCGGAAGACGCCGAGTATTTCACGCCGCCATGCTATCTTTCCAGCTTCGACTCAAGGGTAGAGGAAGAAGAAAATATAACTCGTTGCATTAATAGTGTGCCAGCTAAAAATATGTGCCTACCCGGATGGATTGTTGGAGGGGTATGGTCGCTCAGCATGGGGGTTCATCTTGAAGAAGGATGGAAAGACTCTATTGAAGGGATGTGGCATCAAGCATGATGGTGAAGTGCTTGATGCGGATATTGTAGGGGCGAGAAAGACCTTCGAAGCTGCGCTGGGATTGTCGGAGAGGGAGAACGGGAGAAGGGACGGTAGGCAGCGGATCAATATGTCGACAGATAGTCAGTCTGCGGTGAAGTCATTGTTGACGGGAACTACTACAATAAGCCTTAACGACGAACGCCAATTTGGGGCGCTATCGAAAAAGGCTCGAGTCTCGGTGAAGTGGATACCGGCCCACTCCGGGATATATGGAAACGAAGATACCGACAGAGCTGCACGCTCCGGCCTCCGACAAGCGCTTCTTGAGGAGTAATGGGAAGAAGCATGTCCACCGAGGTATCGAAATCTGGGCCTTCTCATGTGACGATCAAAGCCACGCGAGTAGCCACTTTCCCGGCGGCTACTCCATGAACTGATCTCAGCCCATACAGACCACGGAAACTTCGCGACATGTCACCACCATTTGAACAGCTTTGCCGCTTCAATGGAGTGTGCATGTGGGGAGGAAATATCACCTTTCTACTTCATTCACTGTTGGTAAAACACGAAGTAATACAAATTGGGTGCCGTCACGAAGTGGGTGAATAATGTCAATTAACTGGTATCTCGAAATACATAAAACGTTGTCTCTCCTTCTTCCTTCTCCCTCTGCCCTGTCTTCCTCTACTACAAGCGCCTCGCTAGCGAGCTAAGTCAGATCCCTGTCAGGGTCCTAAAGACAACCTGAATACCGCAATTAGATAGAACAATTCATACTGCCAAAATACGATACATTTACCGACATTCACTGTCAACTGCACTCACGCCAGACGCGTCGACTACGAGGAACAATTTCACATCACGACTCTACCGATAAGCTTCTCGGGCCTAAGTGCCTCGAACACTTTACAAAATTTGTGCAGGAAACCGGCTGCTTCAGGGTCATCTGCGAGTCCGTCTCCAGCTCTCAGCGGAGGCGGTGTTAACTAAGTCATCGCACAACGCATGGCAGATAGGAAAACGAGACGAGGAGTGTCATTTTCCAACCACAAATTAGATTATCGGGTGCGGAATTCTGGTTGTGGGAGAGTCACAACTTGAGAGGGAAGGCAACCCTTGTCGGTAACTATCGCGTTGGTAGTGTAAGTTGCCGCTGGAGAACTAAGACAACGAGACAGTACTATGTATATACAGTAGGCAGGTATGTACGTGAGACCGGCGGTGAGGGCAGCCGCCGTAACTGGGAATGTACGGGTGATTTTTTTTCCTCTTTAACTAGACACTGGTTGTGTAATGGTTCACGCGGTGAGCCCGAGTTTGGCATGTGGGAAGCATGACCTCGGCCACGTCCACCGGTCCTTGACTCCTAGGAGATATAGAGCATGGCTTAGGATCTAAAAAAACAAAAAGATACATACATATATGAGCTCCAGACATTAGGGCATACTCGAATGATCCATCAGAAGGATACGAACGCTCCGCAAGGGGCTTCGTTCTGAAGTAGAATGGAAAACTCATCGGAAAAGAAAGTGGCATCAAGCGCGGGGGGGAGGTGCTAGATCCGGAAAATTAGGGGCAATGAAGACTCTGGAGGCCGAACCGGGACTAACGGAGAACGAGCAGTCTAGGAAAAGGGGAGAGTAGCGGCAAATACATGTGCTTCTAGACAGTCAACAGGCAGTAAGGACGCTAGTGGCGGGATCATCCTCAACTAGTCTTGAAGGTATACGCAACTTCCGCGCGTTGTCTAGCAAGGCAAAATTATTGGTGATGTGGGTGCCCGCGCACTCAGGGGTCCAAGGAAACGAAGAGGTAGACGCCATTGACCGTGCCACACTCCGAAAAATGCCTACTTCGGATACACAACTAGGAACTATTATTATGGCATATCTTCATAGAGTAGCGAATCACAGACGACAGAGGTTTCTCACCAACTAGTAGGAAGAGGCTTCTCCGCCTTCATACCGCCAACTTAACTAATGTGTACGGAGACGCAAACCACTCGAGCTATCACTCTTAAGGCACCTCCTCCGCGACTAATCACAGCCCGAACAGGACACGGTAATTTTGCGGCATAACATCACCGTTTCGACAACCCTTACGCTCCTGTGGAGGGCACTTGCGGGAAGGAAACTATTCCAACTCACTTCATCCCTTGTAGCCGCCACGCACAACAAACGCGTAGGCTCAGAAATTCAATGTCCCACACTGACCTTATCAAAAAGCTTCTCGGGCCCAAGTGCCACGATAGCTTCAAAAAATTTGCGCAGAAAACCGGCTGTTTTGATAGACGACCTGTTCACTTATCCACTGCTCTCAGCGGGGATCGAATAAACTAATCATTGCCACTATACATGACATGAAAGGGAATGGGTCGAGAAGTGCCTTTTCTTTGAGGAAAAAACGTATTTATTTGGAATTAGGGGCAAGGGAGGAAGTTTTGATCTAGGAGATGGAGCAGGTGGTATTCCTGTGTTGTAATTTACCTTCTATTTCTGTAGAAAGTCCCGCTGTTGGAATGAGTTGTACCTGTAAGCAGTGATCCCCGCCGTCTCCGCCAATCATGTACCCAAAGTGGACTTAGAGCTTTAGCTTAAGACTTTAACCTAAAAAAATTTATGAGTTCGTACACACCTGTATCGGCCTGTAAGGCGCCAAGCCAGCTTAATTAATATTAAAATCAAATTCCTAGCTGGAATTCGATTCGAGTAAAAAAGATTCCTAGGAGCAACGCGCTTATTTTTAATAAACTGAGAATTATCCGTTTTTCAACTTTCTTGAGACGGCGGACTCGGACCTTTAGGGTGATAATTATACGTTCTGTTTGAAGGTGAGTTGTATTTATGGTCAAAATTCGTGACATGGGTTATCAGGTAAACTAATTTAAACAGCGCGGGAATATCAAAGGGATAAAACATCTCGTCAACATGTGTTCCAACCAAGTCGGATTTGTCGAGTGTAATCAAAAGTCTTCAATTTTCAGAAAGGCTATTCTGTAAATTTCATCTCGTAAGCGTCTAGGTATTATCTCAGCATCTTCGCTACGAAGAAAGTAGCTTATATATGCGATGATTTGATTTATAAAAGAACTGCTAGTACTGTTAATTCTGTGTATACGGTCGTTTAACTTTTTGTGTTGCCTACCAGCTGCGCGAGGACAATCATTCGATAAAATAAGAATACATCACCTGGATGACAGTAATGGACGTTGAGTTATGAGGCTTGGATGATTTTTCAGGACTTGAAGAGTGTTGCAGCTTCTCGACTCAGAGATCAATGTTTTAATCTAGGAGAACGCATCTAATACAATTATATTTATTGCGACATTGGGAAGAAAGAAGAGTTTTGATATATTGAACATGCATTACTCGCAGAAGATTTAGTTTTTGTATTTATGTTGCTCTAAGCTTATGTAGTTTTCATTGTTTCGCCTTGTGGAAATTTAGCTTAGCGCTAGAACCAAACTGTAAATTTAGGGATAAATAAAATTCTATTGCATGCACTCTAACATTCTCTGGCAGCAACCCTGTGACAATGGTATGTGACATCAAAAGTGTTGGATGCACATGAGTAACAAGCTAATACAATACAGCTGGACGCTTCAGTTGGACTCGCAATGCTCATCGCTGCCTCAGCAGTCTTCCTCTATTATACCGCCTGGACTCTTCTGATGGTATCTCCTCAAACCAAACTCATAACTGTGTGCAGAGTTAACAGATGAACGTAGCCTTTCGTCGACTCTGATCATCCTCTTCAAAACTTATTTCCACCAAGGGTTTGGGCAATTCGCATACCGGTTATTTTAATATTGCTTGGTTCCGCTGTGGTCGGCTCTTTTTTGAGTGTCGTCATGATTCGGAGTAACAGAAAGCGTTCGGCGAAGGCAAAAATTTCGAGCAAGAAAAAAATATAGTAATACCGGCCTGTGCTATTGGATAAAACTGAGACTCAAGTTAACGTTGAAAATCATCCGGCCCGATGCTGTTAGGCTCTCGGGCCCCGTGAAAGATGCGCGATTGAGACAACGCAGGACGGCGAATGAAGATTACTAAAAATCGGAGAAGGATCAAAGCTTCATTGCATATCTCTGTTGTCATTTCTTATCAGCAATGGTGGCGGATCTTACTTGTTGTTGTGTAAGAGTGCTAGGTAGTAGGAACTGCTTGGACCCATTGCGGTATTGGAATTGCCCTCTACTTTCAAAGTATGGAAACAGCTTGGACTTGGGACTCGCCCGACAGTGTACGGTTCTTGACGTAGCGGTTCCTGATCTGAAAGCCCATAACTTGCATATGGGGATTACACCCTAGGATCGCTGATTGATGGCACTGATTCGTCAGTACAGGTTGGGCAACTAAACTGTTTGCATCCATCTGACCGCCTTCCCCTCCCCTCCTTTGAATTCCAAGAACCACCCCCACCCGTCTACACAAGGCAAACGATAGGTCGAGCTTCTAGAGAAGCTTGAATCTTTTGACAGTTCCCTTCCAAACAAGGAGAAACACCCAGTCTTTTCCAGATCTTCTGCAGCGTTCTGAGCTCAACTATCAAAGCGCGGGCAATACCAATTCCGTTACGCTATTTCCCACTGGCCCTTAGGTCGCCCTGCACAAAGATTTACAAAGTCCTAGCCTTCCACGGGTCTCCGGCTGAGGTCCGGTTGGTCTGCAGGGTTATAGAATCTACTTGAATGCCCCCTTCAAGTGAGCAGGACTTTAATGTCACTTTAAGCCAGTCCAAACATCCTATAAATTTATCTCGAAAAACTAAATTGACTAGAGTCCATTCTCAAAATAAGACCGAGAAGAAAAATGGGGATTCTAATGATCTTAGTAAAAAAGCTGGAACATTGACCGTAGTGACCAAGCATAGAATACAGTATAACTTCTCAAGCTCACTTACTCGAAAACTTTACTTATATTTGCAGCAGAAACATGATATCGCCTGACAATCCAATTTTGACACTTCCTTCTCAACCGGATTCTATAATGACAACAACATCAACTAATAGGCATCCTCCTACTTCCCTCTATGAGGTACCATCTAGTATGTCTATAGATCTAGAGAAGCCAATGATTTTGGAAGGAAGAGCAAAGCATATGTCTGTCCAGTCAGAATTTTCAGGTAACCTGATTAATCTTGATAACTCACCATCAAGGCCTTATGAGGGAAAGCCTATAAATATTGAATGGGTTCCTCGAAAACATGCAGACATTTCATATGAGTACAAATCATTGATCTCACCATCTAGGAATAGACGAAAAGAGCCATGTGTCCAACAAAATGGAGTCCCGATGCCAAGTTTCGAAGATAGTCGTCCCCAAACCCCGCTCCATGAAACTACACTAGGATCTATGCGGCTTAAAATCAGACCTTCTCCGCATCCCTTCATGCAAAATCAGTCTCATTCAGATGCATTTGGCACTTCCGATCCCAGCTTAAATTCTAATCAACCTTCGGGAGCTGTTCCTGGGGACGGTGGATATCACTGTGGCTTTGATTTATTATACAATGATAATGTTGTTTTGGTTGGCTACGATGGTGGTATAATAATATATAACATTTCAAAGAAGGGGCTATCAAAGACCTATAGCCTTGAAGGTCTACGAGGGGGCGTACATAACGCTAAAATAATTCCTTCGACTTCCAATGACCTCAACACTGAAGATTTTCCACTGATAGCATTGGTTATTCATGGTCCTATATCCTCTCAAACCGAATCATCAGAAAAAACATCGAATTATAACGACGGTATTGATTGGGAATCATCACACCTATATATTGATTCAGAGAACACTGGATATTTTCAAACAACTGTTGAAATTTATTCGCTATCTGGCACGCAGAAACATATTGCTACTTTGTTATCACTACCAAAAATACATCAGAACATCCCAACATCGAACCATGTTTCAAAAGCTTCAGGAGCAGTTGGCGCCCTGAATATTCAAGCTGACAGGGGAAATTTGGTAGTAGCTTCCGGTATAACAGGTGAAATATGGATTTTTCGTTATGATATCTATGCTAGACCTTCAGATATTAGATTTGACTGCATCGGTAAATTCTGGACAACTGTACATCGCGATGTAGCTGTCGACACTGTGAGTCCTAATGGGCTTGATGATTGGAAACCTACAGAATCCCAGCTGGCGCGAAAACCGTTCAATTCTCCAATTTTATCTCTAAATGGGCGCTGGCTCGCATATTGCCCTCCAACTCCCTCAATGCAAACAACTCTCAGAGCAGTCATTCCAGGGCTGAAGCAAGGGGTTAAAATTCCAGGTCTATATACATCAAATCCGCCTCCATTACCTAGTGTTAATTGTAACGTCGAAACACCTGGGAGTGGTAGTGTGGTGAAGCAGATTGTCCAGATTGGTACTCAAAAATTTATTGAAGCTGGAAATTTTCTGGCTCAGCAAGGGAAGCAAGCCTGGACTAACTACCGAAGCTCAAGCTCACAGTCTGCTGTTGGAAATACAATTAACCAGTTTTCAATAAATATAAGTCAGAAGCCTAATGCATCTCACGATGTATCTGTGCCTGCCCCTATTGTCACTAAAAATCCTGGTCTCATATCACTGCTTGATCTCGAAACACTTGGACAACATATATCGACAAATGGAGTATCATATCACCCATTTACCACATTCAGAGTGCCTCATGGTTGTAGTTTTCTCTCTTTTTCGCCAAATGGCCTTGCACTCTTTACCGCTAGCAACAAGGGTGATATACAGTTTGTTTGGGATCTAATGAGAATACAGTATGCCAAAAATTCCTTACTGACATTGGAAACTCTAGATGCAAGTAGTAATAGTCCTCATATTCGAGAAATAGCACAATTTTCCCGAATGACGGTTGCTCGGATTGTTGATGTATCTTGGGCTTCTCCTCATAGTGAACTTGCAGCAATGGTAACTGAGCCAGGAACAATTCACATACTTGACCTCCCACCTGGGGCATTCACATGGCCACCCTCCCGTCGAAAACCGAATATGCAGAACTTAGGTGAAGGAGTTATCGATAGTTCAAATTCTGTTTCTAAGTTAACAGCGACGGGAGTTGCTACAAACGCTGTTAACTCTTTGTGGACTGCTGCCCGGCCACTCGTCAGTGGGCGACGACGAAGCAGTACATGTCTTTCGGCAAGAACTATGACATCTCAAGCCGGACATGGGACGCAGGCTTTGGCTGCCGGCATCAGCAGATCTGTGGGAGCCGCTACCGGAAAGATGAATGAAATACGAAAATCCAGCGGCACAAAGCTTCATTTACCTCGTAATTCTAGTGTTCCCACAAAGACCTGTGTACAAGTTGTTAGTAACAAGCGAAAAGACTTGGTCTTTGCGATCTCTAATGGAACCGTTCGCCAGTATTCAACCAAAAAAAGAGGGTCCCATGGAACTTCGGGTAAAAAAACATCTGTTAAGATGTGTGCTGAGTATAAAATTCCAGTACCTGGAAAGTACTGTGGCTCTTTTGATTTAGCCCAGAATTTGAATATCGAAGAACTAGAGCTTACGGAGGAAGATATTGAAGAAATACCTTGGAAGGCCAAGCAATCATATTCGCCAAACGAATTTATTCAGTTTACAGATTCTTTTATCCCACAAGCCGAGATAGAGTCAAATTCCCCTTATCAACCCCTTCATACTGATAAACGCGTCGAGCTACATGTTTATAACTGCCCGGATACATTTTTGCCATCCCAGTCAATATCCTCTTTTGAAAAAAATGATGACGTGAAAGAAAAAAAAAGCGGACCAGAGAAAGCATGGGTTTTTGGAGGGCCCATCATGACAACTAAAGTCGATGTTGGCCCCAAGTATACTTCTATCGATAATCCTGACGATTTAATAAATTGCTATTCGCTTCCTCAGTCTACTATGGAAAGTGTCACGAGAACTTCTGATAACTCAAATGAATCTGAGCAGATTCTAATTACAACTAGACGACGAAAATTTGGGATAGAGGGTTCCAATGATGAATGTGGATTCTTCGAGGACGACTGTGAGATGTTAGATTTTGCATGTCAGATAAGGTGATTTTGCGCCTATGGATTCTAAAGCTGAATTGGTTTACAAATTAGTGGAATGAAATTTTTATAAAGGAGTATGTTATGTTCAAGCTCAAAACGAACAAACGCATAGGATAAAAGTTTCGACGATTAATTCTGGAAATTTTGCATCGGTGCGACACAAAGTCAGTGTTTCATTTTTTGGCTAAGGCTTTGGTTTAGTGAGACGAGAGATCGGGAAACCAAAGAGCTGGCTATTGATATAACAAAGAAAGTCTTACTTTAAACCATCACATGTGATGGAGAGGAACGTAAATGCTACGAATGAAGGGGTTGATTGTACAATCCAAACAAAATGAAGATATAATTCATAACGAGGAAAATCAGTTACTACAATATTTACGGCTCACAAACGACAGGTTTGAAAGACCTGGGTTATTTGGCTCTAACTACAGTGTTAAAAGCGAGGGTTAGAAAATTATTTGCCGAAATAGTAATTTCCGCAACTTCATTTAAAAGGACCAGAAATAATAAATATTTGGATAAAGAAATTTGACTTGGTTCAAATTTAGGAAGCAATCTTCATTCCGTTCATACGAATCATAAGACCTAGCACATTTCTAGACAGCGCTGAGGATATGATTATCATTCCTAAACAAAAATAGCTTCATTACCTAATTTTCTACAATCGGATGATGCCGATTGATTTTGGCGACATTCATAGCAAGAAGATAATTTTGAAAGGCAACCTGTAGGATCAGCGAGCAGCATAACTAGGGGTTTTGCATCGATTCCAGAGCATAATTAAAAGATTCTACACAAACTCAGCATTCACATGGAGATTATAGGTTTTAAGCGATTTTGTGTATAACTCGGTATCATTACTCCAGTTAAAATGGCTCATTGCACCCCAAACACTTTTAGTGTAAAAATATAAAACTTGAACTAGATGCATATACAAAACTACTGCCGGATTAGTTTATTTATTATCCAACAATCAAGAAATAGACCTCTGACCTTCTTAACTGGCCATTCCCCGCCCCTTCGTTAGGGAACGTCTCTCGCTGGATAACGGTGTAGCTAGTAGCATTGGATTTCAAAGTAATCTCGTCTAAATCATATTCTAGATTCCAAAAATTGGTACTTGGAAATGTGAGATTTCAAAAATGTCCAAGGTATCAAAATCTTAAAACATCTGCTTCGATCTCTTGAAAAAAACCCTGATGGAAACCAGTTTTTACACTTTTCAATCTAGCTCACTTTAGGATAAGTCTTTCGACTAACAGCGATATCACTGACTATATTTATAAAGGTCAAGCTTTAAATTTAAAGAGAAAATAATTTTAGACTATGGAATTATAATAAGCATAACACAGTTACTGAGAAAAATAATCGTTTGTGGATTTCTAACAGAAAAAATAAGGTAACTAATATTTAAATTTATAGATAATACATTTTACTGAAGAAAATATTTATTTTAATAGAGTCAAAGGTAGTAATCTTACCAGGGCGCTTCTAGAGCTGATCGTCTAATTCAGTCTCTTCCGGTCAGTGACTAGTCCTTGTATTTACAATAGATAGTCCCCGATTAGTATATCTCGTTAACAAGAGATGGAAAAAGGTTTTAAGACTGTTGTCAACACGTGCTTTCCTCGATATAACTTCCGGAGAAATCGGAATGCCTAGCATTTTTATGCTGAAAATTGTGAATATTACTTTGCTTTGATTGCATAATTATATAATTTTGGATTCCTTTCCCGTATTTGGAGGTCTTGAACCACTAATTTTAGTCACAATTTGGTTCAGCCGTGGTACAAATTTTCCAACATTTTTTCGGTATAAAGCATATTCTGGGTATTTTTGGGCAGACGAAAGTTCTGTCAACCACGTAGAGGCTTGAAAGAGAGCAATGTATGATGCTGCGCCTATCAATGTCCAGTTGTATAGAGTTCTAGTAGTCCAACATCCCCACAGATAAACGATGATCCAAATTGCCTGCTCAGCCGCAAAATTGGGGTGTCGGCTCCAGGACCACAAACCTGTGACCACAAAACCACGCTCGAGATTTTCTGGCTTGTATTGGTCCGGTCTCTGTGCACTGTTGAGATATAGTTTCTTTGCTTCTTGAAAGTCTTGGGAGAAAGTCGTTAGAATTGAGCTCCAAAGACAATTTGTGAGTTTATATCTTACCCCACTGTTGCTGATCTGCAAGAAACTCGATGATAACAAGCCCTACTAATGTATGAGTAAACATATAGTCGGCCAAAGACATTTTTCCCATGAACTGAGATGACACAAGCATTATGTAGGCAGGAGTAGTCAACAGTAAGAGAAGCAGACTTTGGGCTAACGAAATAAAGAGGATATTGAGCAGGAAAAAGAGGGATGGGCCTAATCTCTTCCGAATAATTGCCCTAATGAGAGAATTAGTAATTAGAGAACCATATTTTAGTCTTCTTACCATCGGTAATCTTCTGAGCCTCTATTGTAACCTCCTTTTCTGTAGTAATTAAAGGTTAAGCGTAGCTAAGAGAGTCAGTTGGATATTTGAAGAGGGGATCATGATTTATTACACTCCATGCAATACTAAATGCTAATAAATGGTCTAGGCGCTCTGTCTCAAGCCCTGATATTCGAGCATAAACAACATAGTGAATATTGTAAATAGATGGTAGGATACTCCATAACCTGTCCACCTGAGAGTAGTTCTTGTTAATCTCCGACACAATTAGAAAGATAGGTGCGAGGATTAGAGAAAATGCGAGTGCCGTAACAAAAGGATTGCTGTTCTGGTAAATTTCCTTGAGTGCAGTTAAACTCTTCGGAGATTGGAGGATCTGACGTGGAAGCTCGTAAAGTTGTGGCAAGTTCGGATGAACAGTCTTATCAAAAGAAGCGCAATCTGCGAGAGACTGGATGGCGAGCAGCTCCATCTCTAATCGCTTGACCTTTACTGGTTGTTACAGGATACGAACTTTACGTCTTGGATAAACAAAGTGTGGACTTACCAGATCCACGATATCTCGGCACCAACTCTTTTGCCACCGACGTAGCGACAAGCGGTATAAAAAGCTTGTTTTGAGCCTGTGTTTAAAACAACCATTAATTCAACCTCTAGTTTTCATGCCATATTCTGAAAGTGTTCACAGGTTGAGCCATGTTCGACATAAACTTCCCAAGATTCAGATAATCAATCTCTGCTCACAAAAGCGTTCTTTCCATGTCATAGGCTCATCTAGGTGGGCAAGAGAGAATATGAGTTGTAATAATTGACGATTGGGCTAAATTTTTTATGGTATGGTCCTCGATAGTATATATTTTCTATGGTACATTTAGCCCAATTACGTTCAAGTCAGGCATGACTTGATATTGAAATCCAAACCCTGGAAATAACTCGGGCCAATTTGGCCAGACATCTTGGCATTGATTAACTCATCAACAATGACAGATAGAAGCCAGTACCTGTAGTTGGCTGGCAAGCTGCAAGTTTCCCTTTCCAAAATAATTAAATTGGTACGTGTCCAAATATCAGCTCCTCTTCTCGAAGCGACGTAGGACACTCCTACTCAGGTATTTACTTTTACTTTTTCTTTTCTTTCTTCGCTTCAGGCTTTATTGCCGGCCATGTAGGTTGCAATGAGCTTTTAGAAGCCATCTACCCGTGTTACGTTTAAAAATTATCGAGTCAGTCCTGTCCTTTCACTTTGAAAATTTCAAGTTCACATTCGAAATCGAATCTAAAACATACATTCAACAGGCGTGTAAATAACTTTTGCACTAGCGCACCCGCTTGACCGAGCCCGCTCGGAGGCCTGTTTGCTCCATGTAACTACCATCGGCTACAGCGTGGCGCGAATCTTTAAGCAATACGCATCTACGACCCCAAATCGATACAAACGTGCCGTCTTACCTCCGTCAGTCAAAGGGCTTACCCTGCAGCGATCTCTCGCGATTTTGAGTGATAGGCATAATCGTTAAGAGTAAGCCATCAAGAATAGCAGAAACGATGCAGAAGATTCTATGTGTGGCCGAGAAAAATTCTATCGCCAAAGCTGTTGCAGGCCATCTCGCTGGCGGTCGACTATCGACTGTGAGTCGACCCAACGACCTGGTTTATGTGTAACTTTAACTTCTGTCCCATCAACCACAGGCAAACACAGGCAATCAGTTCATTAAAAATTATTCCTTCAATTTTGATTTTGGCGGAGAGTTAGGCCTTTGCAGTGTCCTAATGACATCTGTGTCTGGTCACTTGACCGAAGCAAGGTTCCCTGACGACTACAAGAATTGGGAATATCCACCACCAGAAAGCCTATTTCAGGCTCCGGTACGCGTGGTTGTCGATGCAGTATGGAATTTTTTGTCTTGGTGTATGACATTGGGAAATACTGAATTGTGCTGGATAGGCAAAGAAATCAATTGCAACAAACATCACTCAAAATGCGAGAGGTGCGAGAGCCATGTTCATATGGACTGATTGTGATAGAGAAGGAGAGCACATCGGTGGCGAAATTCGAGCGGAAGCTCTCAAACAAAATCCAAGTCTTCAAATTTTACGAGCCCGCTTTAGCAATATTGAAAAGGCGTGCGTTGTACTATCTAAATATTTAAACCAATATGTTCCATCCTAACGCTACCAGTCATGTTATCAGTGCCGCCAAAAACCCAACGAGGCTTGATGACCGTCAAGTTGATGCAGTGGCGGCACGTATTGAAGTCGATTTAAGAATTGGGCTAGCTTTTACAAGATACCTCACACTGACACTAAGACCCATCTGTGGTGCCCTGTCCAAAACTCTAGATGGAAAAAATAGGGTGATTAGCTATGGTTACAATTCCTTCTACAACTAAAAAAGTAAGTAGAATGCTAAGTCTCCATAGGATCATGTCAGTTCCCGACACTAGGTTTTGTTGTAGACCGCTACTTTCGTGTGAAAAATTTCACGCCAGAACCATTTTGGGGCATCAAAGTTACTCATCGACGTGATAATGTGGATGTCGTATTTAACTGGAAACGAGTTAGACTTTTTGACCGTGTAGCCGTCGTGATCCTATTTGAACGGTGCCTTGAAGCAAAGATAGCAGAAGTGATAAAAGTTCAAGAAAAGCCGACCAGTAAATGGAAACCTCTTCCCTTAACTACCGTAGAATTACAAAAGATGGCGAGCCGACTCCTTCAAATGAACAGCCATGAAGCTATGAATTGTGCTGAAGTACTCTACCAAAAAGGTTTCATCAGCTATCCACGAACTGAGACCGATAGGTTCGACGGTGCCATCAATTTGAAGTCATTAATAGAAAAACAGGTACAAGATAATCGATGGGGTCAATATTCCCAAGGACTTTTAGACGGAGCCTTCACTTCGCCGCGCAGGGGTCGACATGATGATAAAGCTCACCCGCCGATACATCCTGTCACATGGGTATCACCAGCAAATTTGAATGCGCAAGAAGGTCGAATCTATGAATTTATAACGCGTCGCTTCCTCGCATGCTGCTCAGACGATGCTAAAGGCCAGACAACAAACGTTGATATTGGTTACGGGGATGAGGTCTTCGGTGCACATGGTGTGGTCGTCTTGGCGCGAAATTACCTCGAGGTATATCCTTATGAAAATTGGAATAATAGTGTAACTCTACCCAAGTTTACACTGGGTGAACGGTTTGAGCCATTTGAGGCCATGATATTTGAAGGTAAAACAACATCACCTGGCTACCTCACTGAGCCTGAACTTATCAGTTTGATGGATGCCAATGGAATTGGCACTGATGCTACCATGGCTGAGCATATCGCCAAGATAAAAGAGAGGAATTATGTGTTTACACGGCTGCGGAGGGGTGGAGGTACTAACACCGGTAACGAAAACGATGAGGGACCTTCCCGAGGTGGGAACCGTGGGAGGGGCTCTAGGCGAGGTCGGGGAGGGCGAGGCGGGTCAGCTGCTCCGGCGACAAGTCGTGGTGCAATGGAAGAATTTATTCCATCAACACTCGGTGTTGCTTTAATTGATGGGTATGATAAGATGGGGTTTGAAATAAGTTTAAGCAAACCGTTCTTGAGAAAAGAAATGGAACTTCGCATGAAAGAAATCTGTGAGGGACGGCTGTCACGTGAGGAAATGCTCCGAGACAGCATTCGACAGTATAAGAAAGTTTTTGAACAATGTACCGAGCAAGCTGAAGTACTTAAAGCTGTATGTTTGCGGCTCATAGTCCGAAACTCTGAATTTTTGATCGAAGATATAAATGCTGACTTGAATTGGTTCATTATTAGTCATTCCGGCGCTATTGCAGTAGTACAATGGAACACTGACAAGGTTTATGGATTGATAATGGATTGATGAAACTATTAGGGCATGTGGGATGAAAGTTCAGGTCATTTTTAACCGCCGTGTCGGCGCGGTAGCTCAATTGAGCTGCGGTGGGTGGTGTGGTCATATTATTTTACTGACACGTTTTGTGTGAGTGTGTGTGTATGCGTCAGTCCAGAAAGAGTAAGGATTGCTTGGGTGTGATTGAAGGTACACTGTCTCCCAGGTATAAATTCGGCAAGTGGGATATCCACTGTCTTAAGGCTCTGCCTACAACCATCTCATCGGATGGTTAAATATTCGTTTTCGTGCGTGAACCTATAAGTTTCAAGGTCCATGTGCCCTAAGTTTAACCTTAATTCCAAATTATCAATGATTTCGTCATGAGGAGACGTGCAAAATATAGAAGATGATGATTAAGCCAAGGTCATTTTACATGGCTCACGTTCATTGGATATAAGGGTTCAAATGAAGCACCGCTGCCGGAGCATGATACGTCAAGTGGAGCAAATCATGAGCTTTTAGCATGGTGAGAGGTCTACATGACCTTATCATGAACAGTTGAGCTAGACAGTAGGAAAATATTTTGAATTTATTAGCTGGCGACAGACGGTAGGTGAACCCAGCAACAATTACGCATTACATTGTACTTTCAAGGAACTGGTACAGGAGACATCAACCTTGAAGCTCAACGGTCACTACGCGATGGGACTTGAATAGATGCTGCATCGATGTTTGAAATGATGGTAGGTGTGATGACTTGATCTACAGATCGGTCTGATGATACCATTGAATCGTGTTCCATAGCGCATTCAATCGAGGTTGCGTGCGGAGTACCTACTAGCACTGCCAGGCCAGCGTGGGATTCAATGCGCTTGATTAATTCAGCTCTATTGCGTGTCCGTTTATCTTTCGCTGCCGTCCAAGCGGCCGGGGATCCACCTCACCAAAGAAGAATAGCTCAGGATAAATACCCTGATGACTAACCCACGATGACCTACCACTTTCCCTTGTCATCCAACTTTTTCCCCGTAATACGACACATCTTGATAGCGTAATAAATCCGATTAAGCCCCAGAATCAATCACATGCCAAGAGCCCGATATATTTAGAGGTGTAAATCAAGGCTGATTGGCCAACAACCAGAACCGACTGGGGTGTGACAAGCAGTGAACAATTAAAGTTTATCGACTTACTCTTGCAGAATTCGGCCCCCCCAGCTAGATCCACACTGTGCCGTCTACAGTTCCACCCCTGTAAATCTTGTAAAACCAGTTAGCTATGTGTTATCTTGTATCAGCCCGGTGGGTGAGTGGGACCTGTTCCAAATCTGGCATGAACTAACAGCTCATCATCATCATCAATATCAACATCACCATCGCTCCTCAACAATCATCAGCAAAAGTTTCACTGCTAAGAAGATCAGTTCTACAACTGATAATACCGCCACGACGATAACACAAACACTTCCACTTATTTGTGCTCTCACCAGATACCACCCTGTCCAAGCTGTCTACCAGATAAATTTCAAGTACCCGCTATCTCTGTCTCTAACCTATATCCCAAAGAAATACCAACCTATCATCATATCAATAGTGAGTGTATTTCACAAGGGCATTGGTTTACACTCATGCGTAAAATCTATCTGACTTTATTTTCTTCCAAGGTCTCATAAAATCATTACAAGCAATATGTCTAACTCGGTTACTACTGCTCGTGATATCCCAAAGACTATTGTTGGCACCAATGGATCTGCTATAAGTGCAAGAGGTGGCACTGCACAAGGAAAATCTCATTCTTTGCCAACTCCTCCCAACTCGATATCACCCTCCAAGTCACCTTATGGTCTTGATTTTTATGGATCACGCTCCATAACGGCCCGCCAGACACACAAGCTTACGGAGTCAGATCTCAACCTTGAAGATGATAATGTTAACCAACAGTCGAAGGTATCCGAAAAATGCAACCATGAAACAGGATTGTCATGTAATGATAGTACAGGTGCAATAACATCGAATTTACTCTCCAGAAATCATCTTCCTGAGATACTACTAAATCATGGGCCATTGGCCATACGTCATATCATGAGTATTCTCACAACTGCCGTGCCGGGATTTTCAAAGATCCCACCAACGAAGGCTCGGAGGTTAGTCGTAAGTGCATTAGAGGAAGGAGCTAACAGTGGAGGTGTCTACAAAGAATGTTCAGACGATGTCAAATACGAAAAATTGGGATGGGGACGCTGGAGCGCTAGGCTAAACGATAGTCACTCGACAGTAAACGAGAGCAATAAGCCTATCGAAAAGCAGAGTTTAGATTCTCATTCGGCTTTTTCATATAAAACTACAGTTGATAGTTCTCGGGAATGGAAATACGATCGAACTCGTTTAACTGCACCAGATTCTGGCTGGGAGGATGATACATTGATGTTTTCAAACGATAAAGATTTCGCAATCAATGCTGAAATGCCAATGACAGAGAATGATTCTGACCAAATGTCTATTGATATGGAAGGATTTTGTTCCTCACCAGAAGAATCTGAAGATGATGAGATCATGAGTGATAATTCTGCAGATACTACTGACGATGAAGACTGGGCAGCGGTCGGAGCTGCAGCTCTACGAGCTGCTTCATATTCTACATCTGGTCCAGGAACTCATTTTTTTTCACCTCCTGGGGATCGCGAGAAACCATGCAGAGGTGGCGGGCCATCTTCGTTTGTCTTAGCAAAGTCCTGTCCAAGGCCCTCACTATCATTATCTCATCTCCAAGTTTCGCACTTTACAACAAATCCGGCTCCACAAGAAAGAGATGCAATCGAAGCTCTGTTGCAACTTGGATCATTATAAAACGCTCTAGTAAAATTACGATTATGGCTGATTAAGCCAAATTGAGCGGGGTTCGGAAATAATACGGTGCAGTTGGCCGCATCTCCACGTTTATCCACTTAATTCAGGCGGCAGGTATTCATATATAAATATAGGAAGTAGCACATAAATGCCTCATGATCTGGCTTCGGATAGGAGAAAAGACAGTAATAGTGTCTCAACTTCAAAAGAGACAAATTGAGGAGTCACCTTGTCTTTTTTCCCACAGGTCAACCGTTAACAGCTGGATAAGACCCCCCTCAAATTCAACGGTCTCAAGTTTTACAGATCAGATTTGGGGCCAATGGATTTAAGAGGACCAATTGATGCGTGAAAGTCACATCATTAAACTCCTTAAATTTTTACGAAAACTTCTGAATGATGGCGAAATTGATCACCTGTAAATATATTACAAAGGTCTCACATTATAACCAAGGAAATCAAAAAAAGTAGATAGCTCACTGTACACAGTGGTTGTTGATTCTGAAATAGGACTTCAGATGTGCCTAATGACTAGATTCAAACTGTAACAGAAAGGTATGAAATGAGGGTATATCATCAGCATGAGTAAATCTTCAAAGAGATATGAATCAAATTTCCCAACCAAGCTGTGATATCTACGAATGCTATCATATGATACTCACAACACAGTATGAGATTATGAAACTCATAGTTCTTTCACAGCGTAGGCTGGTACTTCAAAGTTCAAACTTATTGCTGCAGAACCTCGTAAAGATTCTGACTCGGGATGCAACGTTTTGAGAAGAATTTATTAATTCTCTTCTTATATTTATACTAGCTAGGAAATTAGAATCCTCTATGCCATTATGGAGCTTAGCATGAATTGGATCGGGTTTGATCAAACTAACTAACCCTACATGTATGTGTTCATCCTCAACAAAATCACCAGACTATCCCAAACTTCGCCCTCATGTTGAATTATGCCATTTGGACCGTCCGAAGAAGACGAATTACGCTAGCCGATACGCAAACCACTCACGGACTCCGTCAGATCAAAACATGAATCATGTTAATTTAGGGGTTCAAATTTTTTGAAATAAAATGATAACTTAGCGATACGAATGCTGAGCGCATCGAACCAAGTAAATTCCGATGTTAAACCAGGCACAGGACTCATAGTCACATTTTAATCAAAAATGAGGGCTACTTTTATATGCATAATTGTCTTTTTTCAGTTTAGGACTTTACAGGACGTGTAGGTACTCTCTAAATTTAGGCTTTAGTATTTATTGGAATGCCAGGTAGCGTTACAACAGTGGCAAAATTTTACAGTGGAATCAGCCCCAAAAAGACTGGGACAATTGGGATTGAACGTTGAGGTGTAATTTTATCGGTTTCTAATCGTGACAAGATGTCACGGTGAGCATAGCTCAAATGGAGAGATTGAGTTTTTTGAGAAGTATAAACTGGAGTCAAACTGTAATTAGAAAGCTGGTTAGGCACATGGCGCCGAGTCAGAACAGCAAAAGCTTCTAAAGATAGCTCTTTATTTATCAATCATGTAAACTTCTAGCCAATTATAGAAAGTTTTACTGGTAGTGTGACTTCTATGGATATGCACCTATGTCAGACTTCACGAGTATAAGGACTTATGCCGATATCAAATCGAGCTCAGATCACAACCATCCTTGGGCTGGATGGTGCGGTGGTACACAGTCCGAGCAGAATTTGGTAACTTGACTACCTATCCCAGTACAGACATCAGAAAGCTAGTTCGATTGCAGTAGTACCCACAGACTATAGTCTCTGAGAAAGCGAAGGCTAAACACCTGTTAGTAGTGTCCTCTACGAACCTAGGAATGAAATATTCTCCTAGAGCCGAGATTCAGTCATGAAAAAGGGTGGATTTGAGAGTTTTCGTCGAGTTGGCGATCGGGAGGAGTGGTTTTGGCTCATTTTTGGTCGAACAAGCGACTTGCAGAGATTTCACGACTGCACAACTCAACGAAATCAATCATCTACACCCCAGATACGAACATCAGACAGGCTATAGCCTGTCTGATGTTCGTATTACGACAACCGACACCTTCAAAATCTTATTCCCTTTTTCTCTGGAAAATCATTCCCAGCCAAGCTCATCTTGCGGCCCTCTCCACAATCATCTTATCACCTACCGAAGCCATCCCATACTTCGAAATGTGAAATCGCCAACTAATAAGCAAGAGGATGTCCGACCTTTCAAAACTACCAGTCGCTGTGAAGGTACGGTTGAAATACCGGCCTTAAATGCGTCCTCACCTCAGCCAAGGGCACCAACAACTCGATCTGCGACGAGTCGCCACCGACGAAATACGTACGAAATTTCGCCGGCACACCAACTAGAGAATTCGTCAAAGGCTGGGGCACCGGTGCCCCGGTCTTGAGCTCTCAGTCGTGTTTTCGACCTCCACGGTTTGGGGTACGGCAGCGACGGGGCAAGGTCGGAGGGATGGACATTCTACAAAGTTTCTGGGATGACGAGGCTGGCTAAAGGAAAAAGAGATGTTACGTAGGGTGAAAAAGGGAATATAAGCTGAGGAAGCTTTGATAGGTATTATAAAGAGATGGATCTTGAGGAAGAGGAACGTATCTAATGTCGTGAATTACAAGGAGTTATAATTTTCTATATTACAATGAGACTGGACGCAGTAATGAAAGAACACCTGCACGCTAAGACACTTGCACGTGATGCACAATTACAACAATAGGCGACTAGATGAGGCCTCCAATGAAGAAAACGATCCCTGGTTGAGATGAGGAGATGCTGAGATGAGCTAAAGCTGGGACTGAATGGAAGGGAAAATTTACAGATGGCCAAGGTGTCAAGGGCTCGGGCGCGAGGTGGCCGAGGCTGAGGAGGAAGTTATGCTTCGGCGCGTCAAATTCGGGTTCTCTGAACGGTTGGACTTGACATGATTCAACACATGGGTGAAGTCTAAGGTGATCTGGTCATTTAGGTGGGACCAGGTAGATGTACTTAATGGTAGTTAACCTGATCCAGCTCGGCCCCAACCGTGCTTAAGCTCTAGTAGGAGTGCAACATGAATCACTTTACCTAGCACGTAAATGAGCAAGACAAGACACTACAGTCTCTCGCGGCGGTATCTGCTAATGAAATCTGAGTATGAGTCATCCAAACGTCCTAATGAGTCATTCCACACATAATATGTACCTTCCCAAAATATTTGGACGGGCCTTAAGGCGCTAAATTAGATATTTGAAGTATTTATTTGTTTATTACGATTCTGCCGCTGGACGAAACTCAAAACCTGTCAGTGGCATCCCCTGAAAACCTCCAGATCTCGCCGTAAAGTCTGCAGAGTCAAGGCTGAGTTACACCGTCCTCACTTCGATGAGGATTCCTAATCGTTATCGCGGTCTATATCGTCTTCATCTCTTAACACATTCCCCTATCACCATTATCATGAAGCTAACCACGATCAGATCAGATGGTAGGGTCGGAGCCCTACTCATCACCAACCCTTGATCATGGAAAAGAAGCCATCCGAGGAGTTTCCGGAGCGTACCCAGCACCAGATACGGAGATGATGGATTGTATAACTTCGCCCTCGAATGTTACAAAGAATGTAGATATAGATGAACATGCGCATCTCATGTGGTCCCGCTGTCTAGGCTTCGCCTAGCTGGGGCTACAGGCTTTCCAAGACTTTTTTCCGCGCGCGCAGTTTCCATTGCTACCATTTTAATTTTTTTCCGGGTAGAAGCTTCCATGGAAAAAGTGGCCGAATTCCATGGGTAGATACTGAGCTAAATGGCTATTCATCAAGGGCAATATATCAAGGATCTTTGAAGTGACAAAAGAGGATAGGAGCACTGTACAGGATGTGGCCTGGGCTACATAGTCTATGACTCAAGTAGTACAATAAAACATCACATCAATGATTATATTTCATTAGACCTGAGTCCCCCTGCTTATGTGAGGGTAGTAAGCTGGTTTGGACCTTTCTTGTCCCTACGCGTGCTATCATGTGTTAACGCTGACTAAAAATATATGTTATATCCGAGCCCCCTGTGTATGGCCTAGTCATGCTAGTATCCGGCATGCTCCGATCCCTTCTAAATCGATTGTGAAGCTATCGCCAAACGACAGCATATCTTTACAGTCCTGAGTTTATCGGGTTTAACGTTACAGATAGAACTGACGTCCCTCTCCGATATGTGTTTTCAAGCTAGTTATGGAGCAAATTTAGAGCTTGGGCCTCTGCCGAAACTCTTCTATACCCTGGTCATTCCTTGTACACAGGAATCGAGCATGGTACCCTTAGAAGATCAGATAATTTAACGTACATTTCTTCCAATTAAATACCTTTCAACCAGCTCATTTGACTGTTCAATAGTTAAGACGCGTAATTCAACTCTGACAGAAAATTATTCATCCCGGCATGAGTAAGGTGCGAGTTATATATTGGTTTCGTACTGATTTACGCCTTCATGACTCTCCTGCGTTAAAAGCAGCTCTAGACCTTCAACCGGATGTATTTTGGCCAATTTGGATCTGGGATCCACACTATGTATACAAAACCAAAGCTGGATCAAACCGCTGGAACTTTTTGTTCGTTCGAATGATTTCCCAGATATTATTACTTTAGCTAACTTAAGTATAGAATCGAATGTCAGAATGAAGTCTCAAAGAGGATTACACAGATCAACAAAAAATCCAAATTATTTGTTATCCGGGAAGCCCCACAAACTATCTTCCCTAAGCTCTTTAAAGCTTGGAATATAACCCATCTAGTCTTTGAAAAAGATACAGATCCCTATTCAAAGGAAAGAGATGCACTAGTAATGACGGCTGCAAAAGTAGCTGGTGTGGAGGTGATCGTACGATCTGGTCGGACACTCTGGGACAGTGACGAGCTTGTCAAAAAGAACAACAATAAACCGACTATGAGTATTACTCAAGTTCAAAATGCTGGACCCAAGCTAGGGAGAATCCCTCGTCCCTTTCCGGCACCAATCGCAATTCCAGATCCTGGAGAGACAACAGTGACATTTGAGCATGAGCCACCTTTGATAAACGCAGATCTAAGTATCAGCATAAGAGAATCTATTGAATACTCGTTTAAGAATATCGCAGGGCCTCTTGGAGACTTTTCGGTACCGACATTAGAAGAACTTGGACTTCCTATGGCAACATCTCCACACCACGGAGGTGAAAAAATTGCGCTTGAGATGCTTGACAAGATAATTGCCGATGAAAAATATACAGCAACTTTTGAAAAGCCGAAGACATCACCGACAGCTTTTGAACCGCAATCAACTACACTTCTCTCATCTCACCTTCATTTCGGGAGTCTAGGTATTCGGGAATTCTATTGGCGTGTTCAAGATATTGTGGATAAGTTCAAGGGTAAAGCTTCACAGCCACCGGCTTCAATGGTTGGACAGCTCCTTTTCCGGGAAATGTACTTCGGTGCGCATGCGGCTCTTTCTCACTCCTTTAGTCAGACTCTCTACAATTCTCACTGTCGATTTGTTCCATGGCATCTGCAGAGCAAGGTTGACCCTAGCAATAAGCGCGCCACGGGGGAGTACCATATCGACTCGCCTCAAGCAGAAGAATGGTTTCAGCGATGGAAATATGGACGAACGGGCTTTCCCTGGATTGATGCCCTTATGCGCCAGTTGCGCCAAGAAGGGTGGATCCATCATCTTGGTCGTCATGCCGTCGCATGTTTCCTTACGCGTGGTGGTTGTTATATCTCATGGGAGCGCGGTGCCGAGGTATTCGAGGAATTATTGCTAGATCATGAAAGGGCCTGTAACGCTGGCAACTGGCAATGGCTCTCTTGCACAGCGTTTTTTACGCAATTCTTTCGTTGCTATAGTCCCATAGCCTTTCCACAAAAATACGACAAACATGGTGCCTTTGTGCGAAAGTATGTTCCCGAGCTGCAGACCCTCAACGAAAAATACATTTATGAGCCTTGGAAGGCACCACGTGCGGAACAACAGAGAGCAGGTGTTGTTATTGCCGATAGCCCATGGGATTCACCGGCGACGCCAGGCCACTATCCGAAGCCCATGTTCGATTTTGCTGCAAGACGTACTATATGCATGAGTGGTATGAAGGAGGCATATAAAATGGCTCTCTTTGGTAATGATCCAAGGGTTCTGGATGGTAGCTGGCGCGAATTGTTAGCAGGGGATGTGCCGCCGCCGGCAGACTCCGAAGTGGAAGTCGAAAAAGATAAAAGAACTGCACTCAAATCTAAAAGCTCGCGCACGACACATGAGTCAGCCACCAAGGCAAAAAAAGCCCAGGGTACTACGATAGAAAGGCACTTGAAGCGAAAGCACGAAGACGATTAGGCGAAGTATGATAGGGTAGGGGGGCTCATTGAGTATGAACAGCGTCAACTGGCCCAGGTGTAAAAGGGTCAGATATGAGATTATAATACAGGTTTGGTATTTCGCTGCAGTAGGCCAGCCTAACCAATCACGAAAAATGGTGCTACAGTGCGCCTCTGCAACTAGCTTCCTTAACGCTGTCCATATGCACGATGATTGACCAGCTAATCCGCTCGTTATCGTTGAGTGGCAGCAGTAGTGCAAGAAACAAGGGCTCTTGCTGTCGTTGGTTCGGTAGAGTTTGTAGGTTTTCATATATGCCTCAATCTTCCCACTCTTCATCGAGTTGATCAATAAGCCGATTTTCATCTTCGATACGATTGGGTCGCCCGCGCCCGTAGCTATTAGATAGCACTGTATAGCCAAAACGATGTGGCAGAAAGCTTGTACAAGTCGATACGCTGATGAGGTATATATTCTAGCACGTTTATTTTAGCACAAGCACTGGCAGGAGCGAAGGTCAGAAAGGTGGAAATTACCGTAACAAAATTGCCAATGCTAGCCCACATGCTGTAGTTAGGCAACTGGCGCCAGCCGCGCGCATGAGCAACATTGCGCTGGTAAAAGACACCACCGAGTAAGTAAACTAAAATGGCAACAAAACCAATTATGGCGAACACCGCGCCAGGGCCAACCGATTGTTTAGCAGGCTCCGTCGTAATACAGGCCACGTTGGAAAGTACTTCAAAGTAGTAGGCACACTCGTCGTCCAGAGTGCCCACGTAGGTAACGAGACCTGATGACGGCGCAGCCAAGGGATCTTTGTCACAGTGGAAGGAAAAGATAGATGACTTTCGACGATTATTATCTTTATTTGAAGCTTCTGTTCCACAAGGTGAGCCATTGTGGTATTCCAGAACTAGGCGGCGCCCACGTAGCCGGAGTGTCGAGTTTTGCTGGCTTCCGACCCAGGTCAGTCGAGGAGCCATGGAGAAAAGGGCTGACATACCCTATTGAAAACTTATGGGCGCCTAGCTCATAGAAGGCGCTGACGTTAGACCACAAGGACTCATCAATGCCGACAAAGTCCTTCTGTGGACTGGCGAGAGCACCGCAGAGATTTAGAGTGAAGTTGGCTTGATTTTCATGATAGTCGTAGCCACGTACCTTCCAATCTTCAACGCGCGCCCCTTTGCGTAATTTTTTTGTTTCGCCCGGTGCTTGTACCCGGAGATCGTTGAGATCATAGAAGGCACCTGCTGCTGATGATATGGTACAGGGCATAGGCGTCTTCGTAGGAGCTGCTGAAGGGACTGCGGCATCTACAGCTGTGGCTGCACCGACACCCAATGCGACAAAAAACGTTGGAAGGAAGCTGAGTTGGAGAAGCATGTCGAGGGAAGCTGTGGGCGACGTGCAATTATCCGCCTCGAGGCGCACTTCTCGTGGGTGTCGGAATCGATATGTGGCTCGGGGCCACAACGGAGGAGTCGCCGATTGTTAGGCCCCACCCGAGACGAGCAATCGGGTTATCCACGTGATATTCCAAGTCGTGAGATTGGTCCGCAAACCCTGTCTAGTCTCACACTGAGGCAAAGACCTTATTAATTCATGGAATCTAAAGTGTGCTGGATAGAAGGTCCCGAGCCCAATGTTTGCTGTGTAAATCATATGGACACCGGCAGGTTAGGTATCTTTCTTCGCCCGACTTGTGTATCACGTGATACATTAAGGCGAATTTCAAGCTAGTAAGATTCTTGATCAAGTGAAAATAGGTGAAGCATTAACCTCCTTGCATTACTCTTCCGTTAAATGAAAATTTGGACTTATTCATCAAAGACAAACTTGTATTGCAGCTGATCCTCCATTTAATGGCTAGAAAAAGTTGTTACTGATTAGGCTTGAGAAGGATGAGGCCAAGAAATGATGGCAATTTTTCTCGGGATATGATACCCCATGCTTGCCAACAATCATGGCATGACGTCAAACAAAATATATTCCAATTCATTGTTTGCAAAATTTCAGAGTGACTAAAATAACTTTCGCCGTATTGAAGCCGAAGAACAGTAGCGTATAACGGGAGTCTGTGCATTATCATAGCAGTCACTATCCACCGGTAGCTAGATATAGGGCCTACTCAATAAGTACCTAATTCATGTATATTATTAAGTTAAGATGTGTCCACTTATTGAAGGCGGCTTACATCACACAATTCTCAGAGCTAAGGTTAGATGAACCTCGCACAACCAAACAAGTTAGCCCATGAGGAAATGATTCAACATAATCCTCCATGTCAAATTGGACGACGAAGGCTAAACACCTGTTAGTAGTGTCCTTTACGAACCTGGGGGTGATATACTCCCCCGAGCCGAGATTCAGTCATGAAAAAGGGTGGATTTGAGAGTTTTCGTCGAGTTGGCGATCGGGAGGAGAGGTGTTGGCTCATTTTTGGTCGAACAAGCGACTTGCAGAGATTTCACGACTGCACAACTCAACGAAATCAACCATCTACACCCCAGATACAAACATCAGACAGGTTATAGCCTGTCTGATGTTCGTATCACAACAACCGACACCTTCAAAATCTTATTCCCTTTTTCTCTGGAAAATCATTCCCAGCCAAGCTCATCTTGCGGCCCTCTCCACAATCATCTTATCACCTACCGAAGCCATCCCATACTTCGAAATGTGAAATCGCCAACTAATAAGCAAGAGGATGTCCGAACTTTCACAACTGCCAGTCGCTGTGAAGGTACGGTTGAAATACCGGCCTTAAATGCGTCCTCACCTCAGCCAAGGGCACCAACAACTCGATCTGCGACGAGTCGCCACCGACGAAATACGTACGAAAATTTGCCGGCACACCAACTAGAGAATTCGTCAAAGGCTGGGGCACCGGTGCCCCGGTCTTGAGCTCTCAGTCGTGTTTTCGACCTCCACGGTTTGGGGTACGGCAGCGACGGGGCAAGGTCGGAGGGATGGACATTCTACAAAGTTTCTGGGATGACGAGATTGGATGAAGGATAGAGGGGTGCTACATGAAGGAACCAAAAGGGAATACAAACTGAGGAGGCCTTGGTGGGCGACTGGATGAGGCCTCCAGTGAAGAAAACGACCCCTGGATGAGATGAGGAGATGCTGAGATGAGCAAAAGCTGGGAATGAAGCGAAGAGAAAAATTACAGATCGCGGAGGTGTAAAGGGCTCGGGCGCGTGGTGGCCGAGGTTGAGGAGGAAATTGCGCTACTACGTGTATACAGCGGGTTTCTGGACGGTTAGGCTTGGTATGATTCAACACATGGGTCAAGTCTGGGTTAAGTCTGAGTTGGTCCGGTTATTTAGGTGGGACGAGGTAGATATACTTAATGGAAGGTAAACCGATCCAGCTCGGCCCCACTCGTGTTTAAGCTCCCATCAAAATGCGAAGGGTTCTAACTGGCTAGTACCCAAACTTTCCCACAAACGCCCAATTTTTGAATTACAAAAATTCAAAAAGCTCTCCAATTCCTCGAATTATCCTGTCTCTATGTCGTACTGAATCTATTATTTAATTGTGAGCGACAGCTAGGCCGACAAACCATCTCTGATGCCAAATAGAAGTATCATTAATTGCTATTATCGCAAACAAATGAGTTCAAAGGTAACTATCAAAAAGTTAAGGCTATTATTATAGCCCATATGTTAGTCAATGGCGTTTCCATAGAGTCCGACGTCGGGGTAAATAATGAACTTTGGTTTGATGAGAACACATCGCACAACGAAATGATAGATGTCAACTATATTAAAAGGGAAAAATTATTTGGCACTCTAAGGAGACAAACTAACTCAACCTACTCCAACTCGAAAAAAGCTGCCACTAGAAAAGTCATATACCTTGAAATCGCTAGCAAAGGTGCCGACGAAATAGTGAGGCTCACTTGGGGTGAATATCGCTATGCCGCTAAAAAGCAGCGAAATCTAAGGTCAAGGGCAATGACAACTCGAGAGGTCTTTGAGAACCTTCTAAATCATGGCAGCAAGTATCCAAGATCGCTGATACCATAAATAAGAATGACTCATCTCTCAAAGTGCTGTAAACTATGGAAGAAGCAGAAAAGCGTTGATCGGCGCAATATTCTACAAAGATCCTTTTCTACTTCTATACTACAAATGGTAAAAAGGTAGAACCTTCCCCAATGATCACAGGGAAGATATATTTTATGTAGATTCGATTAAAGCTTACTTACGAGCATCATTCGTCCAGTTTATCGACTCAGGCCCAGGAATCTCCACACAGCCTCTCCTAAAATGCACCAATATCATGCCAACAAGAGCTACCCCACAAAAACTTAGTGTAGAGGCTGCAACACCCACGCAGATCACAGGAATTACTTGGGCGGTAATCTTTCGGGAAAAGCTGCATAATAATAATAACAACACCCAGGGGATCAATATGAAGGCTAAATCAGCTCCACAGAGCCTAAATTTTCCAAGCCCGAAAGCAAACCCCAAATACAGACTCTTAATCCGCAAAAAAGAGGTATAAGACTGAACACGACACTCTGTTATAAGTACAAGGTTATAGGTAGTAGAATAGTTACCGTAAATAAATACACATTCATTAAGTGATATAGTTTGAGATGAGTTGTAATAGAGTAACGGACTTGCCCTCATATTTCCAAGTACTAAGAATCACAACTTTTACATATATAGTTAATTCTTTAGCTTTCTATATCTACAGTGGCCCAGTTTCATTCGACTCCGAGTCAACCCATTCTATTCCATCTCACTCTTGTCTGGTTAATTTGGATCATCTGATTCTGCATCTCTACGATATACACTAACTAGAGGTAGGTGTATTCTATTGTCATAGCTAGATAGCTGAATCCAATATGATATAAAAAAAAAGAGGTGGGTGTATCTATGTCGTCAATTAAAACACTCTATCCAAGTGGTGTATACACAGATATAGCGATTCAAACTAAATCTTCCCCATTCAATATGGAACATGTGCGCCATATCCATAGAGTTTTTGTAATCAGAGTCAGAGATCTAGACGCAAATACTTGTCTGATGGAGGCATCTAGCACCCTGAGTACAGTAAGGGAAAGACTAGAAAACTAATCATAATTGTCATCCCACGAATTACCACAGTCCCAACAGAAATCTACACGTTAGGTGGGAGGATAGGAGGCACCTCGGAAAAACTGACCGCGTTGATAGCTAGAGTGACGAAGTGTATCCCGAGTAAAGGGCGAGTCCACGGTAAAAGAAGATATGGGACCCTGTGCCGAGGGTGTATCGCTCATTTCATGAACGGACCATTGCCAAAGCCTGGCTTCAGACTCTTTGATTATTCCGATTTATATACAATCTACTAGCCACGAGTCTCCGTGCAGCAAGGCAAAAACTGCCTCGGATTTAATGCAACCCGCTCGTTCTATTATGCGCCCTCCTGCTGAAATCCCCGATTAGCTTTACAGAGTCTCGCTGAATACGAAGTGGTTGCTGTTGGAAATTCTGACTCGAATTTAGGGCTCAACCATTATCTATTTCGTCTGAGATTCACGACAAGATCTACTTTCTCTACAAATGTCCTGAGTGCGCTAATCACACCGTCTATTGCATACATGTTTGGATATTTGTGTACTACAGAGTACGTTGGCTCATCGTGGTAGGTGAGAGGTGGCTGGTAATTACTAGGTTTGACAGGCACTTGAGACTAGTGTGAATTCGTCCCTTAGATGTATGATAAGTCCAATGTTCTCACAGTTGTAAAACATCAAGTCTTGTTGTGGTTGTGATCTGAGAGGTGTATGGCAATTATAATTCTACTGTCCATCGGTGGAGTGGCACGGGCTCATTTGCAATGGTGAGTCGCGGGGATGGCGCGCTCACGCTGGGTGATGGCACGATGAACACTGAGTGCATATCACTGTATCACGGGATCGCGTTGTATAAATACTCGGATGTTCAGAATAGATAATTGTAGTTACACTGAGAATGATACTAGTTTACAAGTAGAGATCTAAATCTAAGTATCCTCGCTTAGAGTTACGCCATAATTCTCACGTGATTACGCCCTAACTAGTTGCCCCTGTGACACGCTGTGGCCATTGGGTGTCAGTAGGTATCAAATGTGAACTTTTACCGACAGTGGTATTCTATGAGGGTGCCGGCAAAGACGAATTCTTCACCTTCCAGTGGTGCCGGTGTAATCGCTCAGTATGCTCTGCATATCTGGGATAGCCAAGAAGAATCGCATCCGAATCGAAGTCGAAAGCAAACACATGTATATCTCCATTTGACGACTTCTCAACCATGCAGCACTCTTCATTATCTTCTGAGTCCTCAACCCCGATCTAAGCACATATCAACTCGCCTCGCCGACCGATAGAGGCGTCACCCTAACTGCAAACAGGAGCTTGCCTCATTCATTACCGGCCATCACTCTCTACATATTTACGACGCTATTTATACCCGCAAGGAGGAAATCAAGTCGAAAAATACAAAGTTGGGGTCTTGGTTTATGGGGGACTGCTGCTCTAATGGGGTTATACATCTTGAGGAAGAACAGGCAGCTGAGATGTGGAGCGAGAGGAGAAAGAAGACTCTGAAGACTGTGTTGGGACTGACATTTTCGAGGAGTTTCCAACTTTGGATTTTTTGTGGGCGCCAAGACCAAGATTTCGGCTAATTAGCCAGGAGGGCTTCTTTTGTCGATGAGTCAACGGCACTCCCCAGCGCCCTGGACGGTACAAAAGAAGTTAGGCTAAGCTACTATACAGCAATCACGCTCTGTCAAGACTTTTCTGACATTTCAGCACGACCTTCGGGAAGGGGTTGGAAGGAGGCTAGAAAGGCAGAGGGTGAATTTCCCGAGGTACACACAAGTCTGCAGCGCCCAGCTGGCCGGCCTCTTCGAACGCTTCAGAAGGGGCAATATGTCTTCGGATTTATTCCTAATGTCGGTATTAGAAGAGCCCCGCACCCAGTGGTTTTTGCGAATTTTCCCGGCTGCCATACACCCGCAAATGGCCATCGTTTCGTTGGCTGGAGAGGGGAGATAATGAAGGGCAAAGGGCTCCTCTTAGTGTATGATCGAATGAGGACTTGTGAGGGGTGGTACTGTTTGAGGGGAGCTGTATGGGAGGCATAGGAGGGGATATACTACTGGTATAGGTATCCTTGGCCTGTAGGCAGAGAGGACCTGCATGTCCTACATAGTCATAGACTCAGACAGGACAATAAAATGAATTAATAATTAATTCTATGAGGGTGATGCTAGATGCGCATCACGACGATTGATAATATCATCTAATGGATGATGTGAAGTATGATGATGATGAAATAATTTAAATTCTATCACTGCGCGTGGCCTATAGGCACGCGCACTTTTATCCCTATAAAGGGGGGAGTATTCTTAACACCTGTCAGTGGTGTCCCCTACGAACCTCCAGCTCTCACTGTAGAGTCTGCAGAGCCGAGATTGAGAAACACCACCTTTTCAACTTTGAGCTGAGTTATCTCCCCCTCTGTCAAAGATACGCTTCCGATAACACATAAGACGACCAAGACGACGATAATGATGCTGGGAATGAGGAAAGATAATGCGATACCAAACGCTACAACGGTAGTCAGAGAAGCCCTCGTTATACCACAACATGTGCTACCCACTTGCGGGCAAAAAAAGCCCACGAAAGCAAAGTAAAAGACCCTTCCGCACTCAAAAAAAGCAGATTTCGACTCGTCAATAGTATCGTCCCTACTAATCTATACCTCCGAATCTACTAGCCAGGAGGGCATCTGAAATACATGAGTTACTCGATAACCCCACGTCCGTAACGACTTTTGGATGCTAGGCCAGGCTCCTTCACGACAGTCACTCTCGACCAAGACTTTTCTGACATCTTTTCACGACCTTCGGTTTGTCCTGCGGCATGAATCAAGGGAGGAGTAAGGAGGAGGCTAGGAAGGTTGAGAGAAGCTCTTAGGTATACACAGGTCTGCTGCGACCGGCTGGCCGGCCTCTTCGTCATTGGAGAGCCCCGCACCCAATGGTTTTTGAGACTTTTCCCAGCAGCTACACACCCGCAAATGGCCATCGTTTCGTTGGCTGGAGAGGGGAGATAATGACGGGATAACGGCTCCTCTTAGTGTGTACTCGAACGAAGACCTGTGGGGGTATTACTGCTGGAATGAAGTCGTGAGGGAGGCATAGATACTCCCGGCCTGTAGGCAAAAAGGACCTACGTCCTTACACAGTTATAGACGTTTTAGGACAATAAACAACCACTCTTTATCCCTATGAAGGGCAAAGGACGCTAGGGCAGAAGCTCTAGGCACCATGGGTCTACTAAAAGTCTACAGTCTCTTTTGGGGTGTAATAGCACAATTGTCAAATTGATTCGGGTTAGATCCCTGTATATATTGATGAGATTGGTTTAGTCTTCATGCAGGCCCATGTCTAGCTCGTCGACTAGTTTGCAAGCAAGGGTACTATCTAACGATATTCCGTGAAAGTCATAATAAATGGGGACGGTTTTCAACACCAAAGGAAAAGTACAATGGTCCTCATTTAAAATTAAAAAAAATCAATTGATATTACCTAAAAATGCACATCTATTTCAAAAATAATTGCTTTATTTTACAAAAGTCTACATCGAAGCCCTCAGTGTGGCTCGCGACTAAATTGAAAGCGTACTACATGTTTTATATTAGTCTGCTCCGTCCCAATACTTTGTGTACCCTCTATTTTCCTTTAACACCGCTACACACCTTTTGTGCATGTTGACCACACTTAACAGAGGCTTCTTCCGAGCAATGCGTCTGCTGCAACCTCTTTTTTTGAGTGCATTTGAAAGTTAATGCTCATTGCATCCCCAGTGGCTGAAGGATCCCATTGCTAATTCCAAAGAGCACATCTGTCGATTTTCAGGATATTCCCGGACGAAAGCCTCGAGCTCATCAACTTATTCCGCACTTAATTTTGGTGAGGGTCCCTGCTAGGCATAGGATTCTCAGTTTCTCGAGCACACGTAAGTTGCACTTGCCTTCTTGTGAAGCCAAGTTCGTAGGATATATGTTGTAATGTCAAGCCAAGTCGTCTTAGTGTTCTTATTTCAATGCATTGGTCGCGAGTTATATGCTTGCGAACTTTAGTTTCTGAAGCAGACTTTTCGAGAGACATTGTTTGCTAGAATAGAGGATGAATTGATAGTGATGTTAAGAGTTAGAGGCTATATTGGTTGGGCAGTCAAGAGTGTCATTGAAAATATGTTTTTCTACGCAATTGTTAGAAGAACACAAGTGGACCACACTTCATGGCAAGCGGGGTAATAAGGAGACACAGCCTAACCTATTGCGAGCTAGTCGAACTGCACCTACAGGGCTAATCCCTTAGACGACCCAGTTTCTAGCCTAACATTTTGTAACCCAGAGGCACTGTAGAATTTAGAATAATTGGGGGTATCATGTGGGCCACGTTGCTGATATACACGTGACTGCAAATTCTGTAATTTGTTTCACTTCGGTACTTACTTTAATCATTGCGCTTTACAACCTCAATGACTCAGGGGTCAGGTGGGCGAGACTGAACACCTGAACGCGGTGTCCTCTACGAACCTGGGAGTGAAATATTCTCCAAAAGCCGAGTTCAGTCAAATTTCGCAATATCAAAGAAGTTGGCCTACGGGGCAATGGTTCAACTTATTTCTCCACGTCGTTTTTTCGCTCCCAACGAGTTAGACTCCTACCTAAGTCTCATCAAGCCTACAAGTACGACCTAGTACATCCTCATCCCAATGACCACACCTCTCTTCGACCTTCTCTGGACTCAGCCGGTCACCAAATACACGCCCACGCCGATATTTATATCCGACGGGGGAAGCAAAGCGTGGCGCACAGATCTGGGAGACAGTTCTTTGGGATTGACGTGAGAGGGACCAGGACAAGTTTACAAGATGATGCAAAGGAAGGATATTACCTCGAAGAGCGTGAAATTCCAAATTTCGGCAAGAGTTTTACACATTGGGCTTTGTGTGCGCCGATACTTCGCTTACGAGAATGAAGCTGACACTATAAACGCAAGCAAACGATGGAAGGTGTTGTGGTCCGCCTCCTGGTGATGTTCTCCGGTATAGTTTGAGTAGCCTGGGCACCTACTCCACTTGGGGAGGAGACACCTCAGATCACATTTCGCGCGGAGAAAAGTTGAAAGATGATAGAGGCATGTGTGGATAACTCAGGGTTTTTGAGACGTTCCCCTGGATGGGTATTCACGGATGAGGGTTGACTTGGGGTGAAAAAAAAGCCGCCATAACTTCGCAGTGGTAATTGCAAATGAAATCCGAGGCATGAGTGCTCTTCCCTTATGTTGAATCATCTAATGTGTACTTTTCCTTGATATTGTGTCATAGCTAGATAGCTGCGTACGCAATTAAAATCTGATGCAAAAACAAAATCCTGCCTTAGGGTACACGCAATCTCCGTTCGCCAAACACCAGTCAGTCAGAACTACTAATTATCGAGCCAAGTAGGATCGACAAAGCGTATCCCAACACAGAAATAATAGAAAACTCAATAGCCAAACCCTTCATCAATAACTGCCATTAACCATCACCTGACTTATCTCTGTACTTCATAATTTCAACAGAAACAGAAACAAAAACCTAAAAAACAAATAAAACTACCATTTCTAAGGTATCAGTGCCCTGCTCTACACCTTAATCCTCGTACCTCATTAAACGGTATCAAGAAGCGTTACAGTTGACCTTTACACCCCCTGTTCACTATTCGATTTTGCTGTAACACTTTTTTTTTGAGTGTTTGTTGTCCTATTGAATCTATAACTATGTAAGGACATGTAGGTCCTTTCTCCCTATAGGCCGGGAGTATCTATGCCTCGGGTAGTGTACTCCCTCCTATGCCTCCTTCATGACTTCTTTCCAGCAGTAATACCCCCACAGGTCTTCATTCAAGGACATACTGCTGTAACACTTTGTTACAGTTAAAAACGCGAGAATTTCTGCCATCCTCCTTGACCTATCATATCCCTGATCGTATGACGTAGTTCCTTCTTTTCCGTCCTACATTTTTGGATAGTCGAGTAACTCTCTGCAAAATGCCATGGCCGCTTTTCTCGGCCACAGTTGCAGAGCATTTCTTCATTCTGGTGTTGGAGCCGTCTATGATAGCTGGCGAAGTCACCATAACCGGCCCTTGCTGCGATGAGGCGGTGATATGCCAATCGAGGTCTAGCTAGTTCCAGAGGGCGTTTTCTCCACATCAGTAGGTCCAGGTCTTTATACCTGCCCGATCTGTTCTTGAGCCACCATTCTTCCGCAAGCTTTTGTATCCGGGGGTTGACTTGGCGTTTGAGAGCTGCAGAGTCAGAACTTCGTAAGTTTCCTCCCCAATGCATTCTGGTCCCGGTATTTTTCCATCCCGATTATTCAACGCAAGGAATGCCGCTATGTCCCGGAACCTAGTAGACCACTATCGCTGGTCAAGTCTTGCATAGTTCACAGAAATTCACTACCTCTACTTGCGAGGAAATTTGTTCTGCCATTTTTGAGGGCTCTGACTGCTTCTTGATTGTCAAAGTTTAACCTGATATCTGTGCTATTTCAAATTTCTAACGCTGTCTCTAAGCCTTGTACTGCTCCGGTGATTTCCGCATCAAAGACCTCAGCTCCAGGAAGAAAATTTCCACCACTCACTATAAGTGTACAGCCCCAATATGGGCCTAGCCACAAGCTGAGTATGCTATGCCAGTCTATGACCCATCCAAGTAGACGTAGAGTCTTTCTGGGGGAAGATTTCTAAGCCGAAACATGATCTGCTTCGCCTTTTCCTCGTCGCATTTGGCCCTGGCAGTAGCCATCCCGATCTTTGGCTGGTAAAGCTGCCCAGGCCCTTATGATGCTGGCAGGCCGAGGATCCTATTCTGAAGGCGCGTTAAATATTACTGTGAAGCCTTAAAGACACGTTCTTTCTGCCTCTCTCGGGGGGACTACTCTCAACACCCGACAGCGGTGTCCCCTACGAGCCTCCAACTCTCACTGTAGAGTCTGCAGAGCCTAGATTGAGTAACAAAGTCCTCACTTCGATAAGGATACCCTATCGATATCGTCGTATATCAGATGGTAAGGTCGAAGCCCTTCTCGTCACCAACCTTGATCATGGAGGAAAAGCCATCCGATGAGTTTCCGGAGCGTATCCAGCACCCGATACGGAGATAGTGGATTGGATCAAGATGGCCTCCAGTGTTGCAAAGAAGGGAGATAAAGATGAATATGCGCACCTCATGTAGTCCCGATGTCTAGGATTCGCCTATCTGGGGCTACAGGCTTTTTAAGACTTTTTCCCGCGCACGCAATTTCCATTGCTACCACTTTAATTTTTTTCGGGTAGAAGCTTCCGTGGAAAAAGTGGCCGAATTCCATGGGTAAATAGTGAGCTGGATGACTATTCATCACGGGCAACATATCAATGGTTTTACAAGTAACAAAAGAAGATGGGTGCACTGTACAAGGTGTGGCCTAGGCCAGAGAGGAGCTCAATGTGCTAGATAGTCATAGACTCAAGTAGTACAATAAACATACCTCTCTCTCTAAGTACTTGATGCGAACCAGACAGTGATCCCGAATATCTCTAGGCGTTCTTTTAGAGTTATTGAATATGGACTCTAAATGACTCGTTCACGACTTCTCGCGAGCCTCCCAATTCTTATGTTGACTTTGCCAAGTCTCATTTCACCGAAACTCTAAGATATAAGCAGACCAGATAAGAGGGTACATCTCTAGGCTGTACATCGTAAGTCTTGATTTCGAGTATATAGAGAAATCAACACTCAAGGAGTGTTGTGGCCACCGTACTATCAAATATAAGCCTATATGGTTTTAATCACTAGTTCACAAAGAGTGCCTTCGGCCAAATAGTCTGAATGCGGTCTTCTGTTGACAACCAACATTTTGTACCGACAATGACTCATTCAAAATCAGGTTGCTATGAGTTTGGCGGACCGTCAGTAATCATCTAACACCTAAAATAATATTAATTGGCGCTGACATTTTGAAAGGGCTGGCGCGTTTGGCGTGTCTTTCGGTTTGCCAATTCTTATTTATCTCTTTACCTTTCTATGCAACGATATATCTGGATGTCCTTCTCCTTCAATCTTATCAACTTCTCAGTTCTCTATCGACCACTTGAAGCACGAGGTTGGATGGCCAGTGAACGGAGTCTGGGGCCTGTCTAGCTGGGATGTATTCGTCAAAGTACTTGGATACTACCTTTTTAATGCAATGCTACACCGCGTCCTCCCTGGCCAGGAAGTTGAAGGGACTGAACTTTCATCTGGGGGAAAACTTCATTACAAGCTTAATTCCTGGTCGTCTGCCATCTTAACTCTTGCAATCTGTGCAGTTGGTACAGCTATTCAAGGCACTGACTTTGCAGTATGGAACTACATTTTCGATAACTATGTCCAGATTCTTACAGCTAATATAATAATCGCTTTTGTTCTCGCCACATACGTCTACGCATGTAGTTTTACTGTAAAGCAAGGGAACAAAGAAAAGCGTGAGCTTGCAGCTGGTGGAAATTCAGGCAACGTGTTGTACGATTGGTTTATTGGCCGCGAACTTAATCCACGTGCTCGACTTCCACTGCTCGGTGAAATTGATATCAAACTGTGGTGTGAACTACGTCCCGGTATGCTAGGATGGCTACTACTAGATTTGACATTCGTTGCGCATCAATACAAGACATTCGGCTTTATTTCTGACAGTATAGCGCTCGTTACACTCTTTCATACCTTATACGTTCTCGACGCATATTGGATGGAACCAGCTGCTCTCACAACCATGGATATCACATCTGATGGGTTTGGATTTATGCTTGCATTTGGTGATCTGGTGTGGCTTCCTTTTGTCTATTCATTTCAAGCTCGATACCTGGCTAGTTATCCTTTCAATCTTGGCACCTTCGGAACTATCAGTGTTTTGGCGATTCTCGGCCTTGGCTATTACATCTTTCGTAGTGCCAATAATGAAAAGAATCGCTTCCGTGTCAATCCCCTGGACCCTCGAGTGAGACATCTCAAGTACCTCGAAACAAAATCGGGCTCCAAATTGCTTACCTCAGGCTGGTGGGGAAAAGCACGCCACATCAATTATTTGGGAGATTGGATTATGGCTTGGGCTTATTGCCTTCCAACCGGTATTTCCGGCTTTGTTGTACGCCAAGATTTTATGACTGCAGGAGAAAATTTCACCCAGAAAGGCATATCTTTTATAGGTAGCAGAAAATTTCAGGAACCGTATGAGGTAACGCAGGGTGAGGCTAGGGGATACGGGATGGTTTTCACTTATTTTTACCTGGTTTATTTTGCCATACTTCTTATTCATCGCGAAATGCGAGATGAGGAAAAGTGCAAACGTAAATATGGAGACGACTGGCGAAAGTACTGTAAAATTGTTCCCTATAGGTTTATTCCTGGAATTTTCTAACTAGCTGCTCATGCGAACTATCAGGGTGGAAATGTGTATTAAAAGGAACCTTATCTACAATCTATCTAACCTACGATAACCGAACGGAATATACAGGGTCGTAGAGCTTTAGTAGATGAATAGATAGAGTTTTGTGACCAATTAGTGCACATATAAAAAGTAATATCAGACACTTTGTAGGAAAGATTTTAAATTTTCTCGCGCTCAATATTCTACTTATGATATCTCATGTTTTTATGCCGCTCTACTTGATGTTCGAAGGTCTCTCATTTGAACCTTCTCTATAAATCGGACTTACCTCATTTGCTAGCTTACTTCAATTATCTCACTTCACTCTGAGCTGCAAATAGGGGAACTATTCTCAACATCTGACAGCGGTGTCCCTTACGAGCCTCCAGCTCTCACTGTAGATTTTGCAGAGCCGAGATTGAGTGACAAAGTCCTCACCTCGACGGGGTTCCAAATCGCTTTCACGGTCTGTATCGTCTTCATCTCTCAAAACATTCCCCTATCACTATTACCATGAAGCTAACCACGATCAGATCAGATGGTAGGGTCGAAGTCCTTCTCGTCACCCACCCTTGGTCATGGAGGAAAAGCCATCCGATGAGTTTCCGGAGCGTACCCAGCATCCAATACGGAGATGGTATATTGCATCACGTCGGCCTCGAATATTACCAAGAAGGGAGATATAGATGAACATGCGCATCTCATGTGGTCCCGCTGTCTAAGCTTCGCCTAGCTGGGGCTGCATGTTTTTTGAGACTTTTTCCCGCGCACGCAGTTTCCATTGCTACCACTTTTTTTTTTTTTTTTTTTTTGGGTAAAAAGTTCCGTGGAAAAGGTGGCCGAATTCCACGGGTAAATATTGAGTTGAATGGCTATTCATCACGGGCAATATATCAATGGTCTTTCAAGGAACATAAGAGGCAAGGAGCACTGTACAAGATGTGGCCTGGGTCAGAGAGGAGCCCGATGTGCTAGATAGTCGTAGACTCAAGTAGGACAATAAACACATACAATTATCTGAGCTACAAGCTAAAATGAATGAGAGAAGGTCGCCTAGAAATCCAGAAGACTGTGTTTTATGATAACTTCCATTGAAAACCTTGCAGGCATTAGCTGGAAGCTATCTTGACTGTTGCGATTAGCACACCTTGAAATAAACTAAGTGAGGAATCCAATAATTACTACCGTGACTCTCCACCCTGTCTCCATATATCTCGCATGCATGTATGAAAGAATTGTATTATAATTACACATTATCGTTCATTAAACGCATATATTCCAAAAATTTATGTCTTTATTATTCCCAGTGAATTAATTAATTGGTTGTAATGATATGGGCCAGCCTTGCACCAATTAATGTTAAGATTTTCATCACCAAGACCAAAATGTCTAGCGAGGTGAGACAGCCCCATTTGGTACCTTTTATTTTACCAATGCTTCTTCAAAAGTGGATGTTTGAAAGCCACAACTCAAATCAGGATCTTCACAGGAAAATTGCTGGAAATTTGTTGAAGATAGGCTATCCGTCCATTTGCGAAAAGCCGTTTTGAGATTGAGGGGCGTGTCCCCCATAACTATGCTGATTGGTGGAATGAATGGTCGGTCTTCTTTCCCCACTACTAGCATGCTATACTCCTGGGCAAAGAGAAGTGAATTTTTGAAAGCTGTGTATTGAGACTGAGAATTCGACCCAACAATTATAAATATTTCAAAAAACACATCAACGATATGTATCTTTTCGGAATTTATATCATGCTGGTTGAAAGGAGTGATTTCAATAATCTGAAGCAGATTAAGCCTAACTTATTTCTGGGGGGAGAAGGATTTGAATACTCACCTGATCTTTCGATTCTGCACTAGATACGAAGAGACGTACCCGGTATCTGCAACATTTTGGCTTCATCTCCCAATAGCTAGCTGAGATGGAGATTTCTATATCCTCATTAAATAGCCGGATAAATGATGGGGGTTCCTTGCCGTCCTCAATCTCTTCAATCTCGCCGGTAAGACCAAATTCCATACCCACTAATCTTGCGCAACTTAATTCGTCAACGCTGGAGCCTTTACCTTTCCATAAGTAACATTTCCCAGAATTAGTTGAAATAAGATAAGGAAAGCCAGAACATAGGCTCCGCAAAGAGTAGTCAACTTCATCAAAAACGATTTGACCCATATACTTTCGTCCACATAGAACACGAGGCGCAAGTGAGTCATATTTATGAGACGACCCCCGATGAGTAATTATGATTCCATCAAGTGCGAATATAAATTCTGCAGTTTCTTTACCCTGCTGCAGTATATGGAGCTCAGCTCCAGCAGTCCGGGATTCTGTGTGAGCAATTTTCTCAGCCTCTTCGACCAGGATCATAGGAACTTGCCCACCGATCCACCAGTAAGCTTTGATGAAAACCTGACCAGTCTCGTTCATAAATTTATGAATATAATAATATTGATTCTCTTCAAAAAGTATTCGCTTCTGATGATTTGGAACCTGTTGCTTCTTGCCATTGTTAGATATTTGAAATGTCTCTACTTCTAAGGTTCTTATATTGAGCGCAAAATCAGTGTACGAAGAGAGTGTTTCTACAATGTCTAGATTGAAAATTTTGTGTGGAATATTCTCGCTGAAAAAATCGGTGATAATGCTTGGCGCATCAGAAACTTCAAGCGCTTGCTTATCAAAGTTGCTTATTACATGGGGCTCTGAATTTTTTATGGATGCGGTTGGAGACGAATTAATAATTTTTGGAGACAAAAGCGAATTATGACTATGAGATAACGATATGGTCTTTTCATGCTCTAAACTTTCAGGCAAAAAATCAACACTAGTTGTGGCTTGAATTTGGTCTCTAGATATATATTTATCGTCAGAAATTAATTCATAGCTACTATCAAGACTTGATGAGGGTCTTCTACAACTTATAGTAGCTTCACTATCCAAAAATAAGAAAGGTCCGGCATTATCATTGACTACCTGCTCTCGCTGATGAATTTCAGATAGATTGACAGTTCTTTTCTGCGGTTCAAACATTAAATTGTCAATCTGGGATATTGAGGGTTGCTGTAAATTTACATATTCTGTGGAGGCAGAAGGCGAAATTTCGACGTAGTTTACCTGATCTAATTTTGAAGGTAATATTGATTTGTATTGTGCTTCAGCTTCTCCCTGCTTATTAATATGCTCTTGTTGCGGAATTAAGGGAGTCCCGAGGGAACTATCCTCATTAGCAGGAGGTTCTAGGCCTGGCAAAGTTGAATGAATACCCGGATCATGATTTTTTTCTGGAAGCCGTTGAAAAGATGACTCCTCCCTAACTGCATCAAATTCTTTGAGTGATTGCTTTATATTTGAACTTTTGATAACACCTTGAATTGAAGAATATGGTGTCAAATTATCTAGCCCTACGTTTGTTTGGATTTCAGATGTAGACCCCATCCTAGATAAGGTTGAAGCATCGACTGTTGTGAATAGCGCATGCAAGCCTGTTGGCGCTCTTCGATGCGGTCCACGAGCTCTCATCTTGGTCAGATGAACCAGCGGTGGGCATGAGATTGAGACATCTACATTAGAGTCTTTATCGGTTATAGTAGGATGTTCAGAGGTGGGACTAGGGAATCTATCGTTAATTTTTTCCGATGAGGATGATTCTCGAGCTGTTAATCCAACTTGATCCGAACATATTCTGGTAGGAGATTTCTCATATATTTCATCGCCAGAACAGGATTTACTAGTAATTTTTGGACTATTCATGAATGGGTTGAGGCGTTGATTTACTGTATGTTGCGATATAATTGGTAAATCTGATGTAGATCCAGATCTTCCTAGAGTTTTTCGTTTGATGAGAGCCTCTGGAAGGCTTTTCACATTGTTGCTGACTGGCTTATTTGCTACACCTCTTCCTTCTAGTTGTGCCCTGTTGAAGTCTTCTTTTTTTTTCAATATAGCTTCTTTAAATCCATCCCTTATTTCGCTCTTTTGTGGACCGTTGGTTAATATTAAAGCTGCTTTTCCTCGTAGAATATTATTTTTGAGCTCATCTGGAGCAACATAATTCTGGGTCTTCGTGGGGCGAAGTTGCACAAACACATTTTTCAAGTCAGACCCGTTAGCAGTAGAGCTTTTTGAAGTATCTCGAGATTTTGAGCCCGCAGTTAAGTCTATAGAAGGAGATTTGTCGATTCTTGATTTAACTTTAGTAGGTGTTGATGTACTAGTAGTAGAGCTATCCGAGCTTGCCATTGAAAATGAGGCATCTAAACGGTCAAGAGAAATAGAATTCCTAGGACGTGGTTTGTACATGTTGTTTGTGAACCCTGTCGGGAGTCCCGTTGGAAACATTGCCGTTGGCGGTTTTGCGGAGCTACCCATTGGAGGTAACCTCATGAGTCCACCAATATTGACTTCATGCTTTGGAGCTGATACTTGGCTACGGGAATTATCATTAACTAATGAATTCTTCGCTCTGTTTAATTCTGATTTCCAAGTAGGTTGGTGTAGCGGTACTGCTGCCTTGTGCTTTGGCTGCGAATCTGGCTTGTTTAAAGCTGCTTCTAGCCAGCTCGATTTTGTAGGGCTCCATCTTCTACGTTCTATAGATTTTGTTGGGCTAGACGGTGGTGTTGTTTCCTTTTGCTTCAACTCTGATGCATTCTGCGTCCCAGAGTAATATCCTTGCGAAGTACTGCTTCTCATAATAGGGATGGAAGTCTTTGTGGCATCTTTTGGCGCTGTTGAGATGTTCATGAAGCTTCTTGTAGTACATGGTGGGTTTGATCTTTCCTGAGTACTGATAATATCATCTTTTGTCGAGCCTGGCTTGGAAATAATATTTGAATGATTGTCTCGGTTAGCACTAATTGCCTCACGGAAATTCAATTCAGATTCTGCTCTACTTGGGGCGGGGGATGATTGAACACTCCATCTTTTGTTGACGCTGTCTGATCGTTTCATCATTGCACTCTGTACGAAACCTCCCATACCCTTAGTAGGTGACATAGATCGGTCGAGTCTTTCGGGAGATATGCGTCCCTGAGGCATTGAAGTTGCAAATTTACGGCCCTCGATATTAGGTTCACTTGGAGGGATGAGTGTTTGAGCAGTGGTCAAATGTATCGGAGATTTGATTTCGTCAGGAAGTAATTTTTTTACTATGTTCAGAGAACTCGAGCCATTGTCATTCGAACTATATCTAGACAATGGGTTCGAATGATCTGGTAGATCAGTTAATTCTGGTTCTTCTTGTAATTTATCATGATTTATCCCATTACTAGTCTCCATATATACTGAACTTGTTTCACTTCTATCTTCCTTGAGCTGGACTTCTCTGGGTGGTATTGAGTTGATTCCATAGCTAGATTCGGGTTGGGAATTTGTCAGAACTTTGGAGTTGGAGATTTTAGAGGTCACTCCTGGTGTAAATTCGGCTGTACGGATAGGCGAAGTGCTAGGTGTTGTGCTTGGAGACTTGGTGGCCATTTCTAACTCTTTCACCGATGATTTTCGGCTATATTGATTTTCAGAAGCCTGAGAACTGGGTCTTCGCTGCCAAGACAAGGTTGGTGACCTTAAAAGAATAGTGTTTGACATTGATGAAATACTCGGAGTTCCACGCAGTCCAGGCTCTACTGGAACGCATTCGTCGGAGATAATCGAGCTTGATTTTTTTGAACCTAGGACTTCGTCTGCCGATAGATTTGGTATATTTTTTTCCTGATGAAGTTCATTGTTACTTAGAAAGGCAGATTGTAAGGATTCAGAAAAGGATTGTTTTAATGACATGGACAGCCGATCTAGATTTGGCGTCGTGGCAGGTGATGATTTTATAGGAGAGATTGATCGTGCACGCTCTGTTCATTCTTAGTATATATAGTTAATTAAGAATAATATATTCTCATGATGAGGCATATTTAGCTTCAGGGTGAACTTACCTGCCCGACGGGCTTGTCGTTCTCTTCTGCCTTGAATAATATCTTCTTCGAGCTTTCTGTTACGTTCTTCATCTTCTTGATCTCTTCTTTGACCAATTTCCTTTATCCGTTGCAAGAAATCATTCACATCTTGAGACTCATCTTCCAATGACGTTGATATTGGCATTGTAGTGATTGTCATATCGAGATATTGTTTCAGCAAAGTTATGGATCGCAAGCAAGCGATTCATTGAATTTCTTTACATACAATCGCGATACTACGAAAGACTGTAGAATAAACTGGTTCTTGCGGGCTCAGCTGTGGTGGAGAACCTAGGTCAGTAGTGAGGTATCCACAAAACGTGGCTTCGAACTCGCTTCCAGTCTCCCTCGTCAGCATCATCTAAATAGGACTAAAAAGGAGACCTTTCAGCATGAAAAAAAGCTAAACACATCTGTTTCAGGCTATAATCATTTACTCTAAATATGCAAGAATATATACTTCAACTACTTACATATCTATAGTATTGGTACTAGAAATATTAAGGATATTTTTGATTAGGATTTGTGGCAGTGAATCTACAAGATAATCCAGTATCACTGTCACTGTCACGGTAATGGAAATCAATAGTCTCTCATCATTCCTGCTAATTCAAATATTCCTGCTCATGGATTGATCGTAAAAATTACCATGCAGAAATTTTATTTAGTAGGTAGTAGCTGCAGTAGCTGGCTGCGCTGTCCCTGTGTCCAAAAAAAGAAGCTTCTACTCCCACCGCTTGATACACCGATTTGATTGTATGAGCCCTGAGGCAACGTGCTCGGGTCTTGTGCACTAACTTTGTTGTCATCCAAATACTGTTTAGCCCTTCAAGAAGTTGCCTAACTAGCGTATCTTGGGTAACTTGCAATTTTGTGGGCCTTATTCTCGATGCTTGACCTGCGACAACCTAGCGTCATGTTTCGAGTCAAGACCAGGATCGTCATACTGGGGTCATGCTAGATAGAAGAATGGCAGCCATAGAAGAGGAAGTGGCTGAAACTTAGCCTCGCCTATTACCTTATTAAAAGAAAGAGCAGACGTCTGTTTGCTTCAATGCAAGTTGCTGGCCAACTAGCACCCTCCGCATTCCTATGTTTGCTTGTTGTTTGAAATTGATTTGATTGACCTGATTTGGCGTCCTATGGCCTCATCCAGCTGTCTATCAAACTTTCTAATTTGTAATCGAGGAAACCTTGCCGTACAAACCCCTTAACTGTCTGATTGAATTCTGCGCCTTTAAAGCCTTACTTTTCTGAGGTGCACTCACACTGTTGTTGCCAGAGTGGATTCTGTCCTTGTGCTGTGTTTCCATTTTCCTCTATTCGCCTGATTAACGTCTCGATTTCTCCCATCATCCGAAACTGCTCTAACTATCCTTCATTTTGAATCCACTGTGCAATTCTAGTCAAATCTTTGACGTTGTTAACCATAGGGAAGCTTGTTATTATTATTGTTATTGTCAATTGGCCTTAATATCCGTACTAGTAAGGTTAATTCAATGCAAACCGAAAGGTTCAAAAGTGAAGAGTGTATTGTGTCTACCTTCTCTGTCTGAGAGTATGACAAACGTGGAATTCGTGGTATTAGCTGAGTCATCACTGGAATGACTCAGGAACGGAGAGATTCACCGCATTTAGTGTATAATAAATATTAATAAATTGATGGTGGAATACCTCAAAGGATAGTGAAATCCCTTCGAAGCATCCAAAGAAACTGCTTAAAAATAGTCACAGGAGATTATAAATCGACTACCACGAGAGTACTCGAACACGAAACTGCCACACTACCAATAAAAATCTACCTGTAGCAGCAAAGGCTCCAATACGTTGGCCACTCCAAACCCATACCAGCTCAAAAGCTCATACAATCTGCCTGTAGTAATATCAAGCTGTCCAAACGAGGGAGAAAAGCCATTTGCGCCGATAACAGGAGAGTAGATATGACAAATCGGGTTGAAACTTGGGAGGAAGACCTGTCTAAAAGACGGCAGAAAGTGGTAAAAGTCGCAGCTTACTAAGAATGGGCACCCTCACTGTCCATAAGAGCATAGTTAAAAATTTAAAAATAGGAATATAAAAAAATGTAGCTAGTATCTTATATGTAGATTCTAGGAGTCATCTATAGTCATTGACTCTATTAGAACTATAATAAAAAAAATCTAAATCTAATCTAAAATCTACTAAGAATGGGCAAAACCCTGGCCATATCAAAGGCGGCCTCAATTACCTCAACATTTAGCTATCGCCGACACCGAAAACTGGAGAGTAGCCAAATTCTATCGGAACCGAAAGTCGGGTTGATGGAAAATAAGTCTCCAGGAATCTTCATTTCTATTCCACCGAATCCTGACAATGGTCCCAAGCAGTCTAACGATGCAAATACGAATTGAGCCCCATGTGCTCACTTCGTATCTATGTGGAAGAAAAGTACCCGGAGCCTACAGTCCAAGCTGTCCATGTAGCTACCAATCGCAGAACCCCAAGCACACGATAATGTCCTGTCCTCGATGGTCAAATGGAAGAGAGGAGATTTGGAGACAAGCCAAAATTCGATTCTACGAAGCTATGCTAAACAATCCTGGATACATTAAAATGATAACACAGTGGATCCTAAATTATGATTGAATAGAACAATTCCAGATGACAAAGGCAGTCGAAATGCTGCCGAGGGATAGGAATAGGTCAAGCCATTCTTGAGGTCGATAAAGATGATGTAATTGGTTAAAATGGAGGTCACTGTAGTGTAACTGTAATTCCTGAAGGATACATCAGAAAAATATAGACAATAAGTTTGAAGGTTTAGAGGTTTTTCATCAAAAATTTTCCTCCCGAGTAGATATTATAGACTGTAGACACCTGCAAGGGCCTATAGGGTGCCAAATCAAGGCAATGAAATCTAATAAATATTAAAATATTCGAGCAATAAGTCTTTTGAAGCCTGATGATAAATACTATAACTAAATAAATAAGATATTGATCATTTTTCACGAAAAGCGGCACCACGTTCCAGGAACGTGAACTCATAGTTTTTATTGTTGCATTCATCTTAACCAATACCTCTTACCTGATTCCTTGAATTTTTTTGTTGCGCTTCGGCATGGCGAGTTAGGGGGCCAGATAGGTGGATTTCGCGATTGATAATATTTTCACTGCACCACCACAACCAACGATGGGCAGCGAAACAGCCGCAACTACGGCTGTAGATCTTCTCGCAAAACCTATAGCTGTAAGATGGATTTTTAAAGGCAGCGAGTACATATTCAAGTAAAGTTCTAGGCAGACTAGTGGATACAGGTACTTACATATCTACGGCATCGATGGTGGAAATATGAGGCTCTTGACGTCTTCAAGGCCCACACGCAGATGTTACAATCGAAGATTGTTATGCTCAGCTATGTAGTATGGTAGATCTAGTAGCTGGTGCATAGGTAGTTATTATGGCAGCATGGCATTATGGCGCATGAAGAAGATCCAGTCTCTACATGATGACATTACAAGTAGTAATGTGTGCAGAACGAGAGATGGGTTGTTGATACAGGACAAATGGCATGGCTGCTCATTTGGTTGTACACTTTGGTGAGCTGCATACTGGTTACGTGATCGTTCTGCAAGCGAACAAGCTAGGGGATAGGGACGAGCTTCCCCCAATGTGTAACAGAATAATTATCATTGTAACTTCACTTCTGCACATCAATGAAGATATCTCTTCACAGACCATCTTAGCCGCTCCTGCCGAGTGTACATTCCCTAATAACATACCAATCATAATAAAGATGTCGTCAATGCCAATGGAGGAAAGGATACTAGCCTTGGAGAAGTCAGTTACGAAGAGCCTCGAGGAGCCGGTGCGCAAGACGGCTCCTCAGTCGGCAGAAAAAATGGGAGGACCACCAACCTATGCCTCAATCTTCGCATCGCCGGCAACTAAAGCAGCAGTAAGGATACGAGTCGAAGGGGCAAAAAATATGCAACCGGCAGAGCTGCTTAACAAGGCAAAACAACACATCGAGGGGGCATATGCTATAAGAAAGTTTAGGAGTAACGACACTAAGGTGTTCGTGCAGTCGGTCTCCCAAGGAGACGCAGCCTTGATGATGATGCCGCCAAAGGAGTTGATCGTTTTGAAACAGGATTATCCTGTAGGGATTTTAGGAGTCCCATTGAGGACAATATTACTAGTAGAGAATGCCGACAACAGCACATTAATAAATCAAATAATATTGGGAAACAAAAGTTTGGATTCCCGATCTAAAAATTAACAGGGTGAGGTGGCTTTACGACGGTAAAGAGCATTAATGGATGGGAAGAAACGATCATACTCAAGGGTCAGTGATCGCGAGCCTACCGACAGAGGTACTTTAACGCGAAGTGACAAGAAACGGCATTGTGCTAAATTCAATGCCGAACACGTCTCATAGACGAAAATACCGGAGAGACAAGAATGAACTACAGAGGAACACCCATCAGTATCCACAAAAACCTTAACAGGGCGCAAAGTAGCATAGCCATGAAGATAAGAAGTGAGCACATTGGGTTCAACTCTTATCTGCACAGAAGACATGCTCCCGAAGTAGACAGCCCACGTTGCCAATGTGGATATCCGTCCCAGAACGTCAAGCATATGATCATGGCTTGCTCCAACTGGGCCAAAGGGAGTGGGGAGATACTGAGAAAGGCGGAGTCTCGGTCATTTGAGGCGATGATGAATAACCCGAAAGACATGGCAAGAATTACAAAGTGGATTCAACATGAAGGGAGATTGGAGCAATTTCGGCTGACGCTTGAAGTTGAGGCCACGATAAGGGAGAGAGAGAGGAGAGCAGTGGAAAGAGGATCCCCTGCTAGTAGCAATGAAATGGACGGTATCCGCACTGGACATAACAGTGTTAGTGCACTTCTTGAAGGTGATACAAATTCAAAGTGTATATAAATTGAATATTTGAGGGGGTTTTTACCATAAAGGTTCCCTCCTATGTAAATATTATAGTTCGTAGACACCTGCATGGGCCTTACAGTGCCAAATCGGGCTAAATGAAATCAAATTCAAATGCTGTACACAACCCAGCTATGGTCATCCCGTGCGCAAGTCAAGCAGTGCTTCAACTGCAGCGAATGGGGGCATACTCAAGCCTCGTGCATCATAGCGAAAAGTGTTGGAAA